TTATCTGAGGCTAGAACCGGGCTTTGGTTTCTGTTCAGAGCTACAAGCAAAGCCTATTACCGTGGATTTGTAAGCTTGACTGTATTTTCCGAGGCTAATACCGGGCTTGGTTTTCCGTTCAAGTACAAAAAATGCCTATCACCTTGGGTTTGGTCAGCTTGAGTGTTTTCGTTGAGGCAAGAACCGGGCTTGGCCTTTCGTTACAAACTACTAAAGAGACCAATCACCGTGGACTTGGTCAGCTTGACTGCATTCCCTGAGGCTAAAACCGGGCTTAATTTTCCGTTTAGAACTACAAAACAAGCCTCTCACCGTGGGTTTGGTCAACTTGACTGTATCCTTTGAAGCGAAAACCGAGCTTCGTTTTCCTTTAAGAACTACTAGAGAGGCCTACCACCGTGGGTTTGGTCACCTTGATTATATTACATAAGGCCAGAAACGGACTTGATTTTTTGTTTAAAACTATCAGTGAGGCCTATCACTGTGGGTTTTGTCAGCTTGACTGTATTTCCTGTTGCTAGAACCAGGCTTGACATTTCGTTGAGAATTACTACAAAAGGCCTATCAACTAGTGTTTGGTCAGCTTGACTGTATTTACTGAGACTTGAATTTGGCTTGGTTTTCCGTGTAGAACTATTCGAAAGGCTTATCACTATGGGTTTTGTCAGCTTCACTGTAACTTTCCTGAGCCTAAAACTGGGCTTGGTTTTCTGATAAGAACTACTGAAATGGGATAAAAGCGTGACTTTGGTTAGCTTGACTAAATTCCCGAGTTTAGTACCGGGCTTGGATTTTCTTTAAGAACAACTAAAAAGGCCTATCACCTCAAGTTTTGTCAGTTTGACATTTCCGTTCAGCTAGGTCGGGGCTCAGTTTCCCATTAAAAGCTACTAAATTGGCTGTCACCGTGGGTTTATTTAGATTGACTTTATTCTCTGAGGCTTGAACCGGGCTTGGTTTTCCCTTAAGTTCTACAAAATATGCTTATCTCCGTGGGTTTGGTCAGTTTGACTGTATTTCCTGAGGCAAGAACCGGGCTTGACTTTTCGTAAGGGCCTTTTAAAAAGGCCTATCACCGTGGGTTTGGTAAGCTTCACTGCATTCCATGAGGCTAGAACCGGGCTTGGTATTCCGTAAAGAACAATTAAAAAGGCTTATCACCGTAAGTTTTGTGAGTTTGACATTTCCCTTCAGCTAGGTCCGGTCTAAGTTTCCCGTTAATAAGTACAAAATATACCTACCACTGTGAGTTTGGTCAGCTGTACTTTATTACCTGGGTCAGAACCGGGCTTGGTTTTCCATGAAGAACTACAAAAAGGCCTATCACCATGGTTTTGGTTAACTGTATTACCTGAGGCCAGAACCGGACTTGCCTTCTCGATACGAGTTACTAAAAAGGCCTATGACTGTGTGTTTGGTCAGCTTGAATGTATTCTCTGAGGCTGGAACCGCGCTTGGTCTTTCGTTACGATCTACTAGAAAAACCTATCACCGTGGGTTTGATCAGCTCGACTGTATTCCCGGAGGCTAGAACTATGCGTGGTTTTAGGTAAAGAACTACTTATAAGGCTTAATGTCGTGGGTTTGGTCATCTTGACTGTAAGCCTTGAGGCTAAAAGCCTGACTTTTTGTTAAGAACTACTAGAAAGGGCCATCACTGTGGATTGGGTCCGCTTGACGTTATTCCCCGAGCCTATAACTGGGCTTGGATTTCCTTTAAGAACTACTAAAAAGGAATATATCCGGTGTTTGGTCAGCTTGCCTGTATTTTCTGAGGTAGAACCGGGCGTGGTTTGACGTTAAAAACTATTAAAACGGCCTATCACCGTGTGTTTGATCAGCTTTACTGTATTCCCTGAAGCTAGAACCGGGCTTGTTTTTCCGTAAAGAACTACACAAAAGGGGGTTTTACCATTTTTACCGTAATCACTTATGTTTGACTTATCGATAAGAACTACTTGAAAGGCCTTTCACCGTGGGTTTTGTCAGCTTGACTATATTCCCTGAGATGAGAACTGGACTTGTATTTTATTTAAGAACTACTAGGAAGGGCTGTCACCGTGGATTTGTTAGCTTGAGTGCATTCCCTGAGTCTAGAATCAGGATTGGTTTTGCGTTAAAAACTACTGAAGTGGTATATCACCGTGGGTTTGGTCAGCTGGACTGTATTCCCTGAGGCTAGAACTGGATTTTCAGTAAGGAACTACTAAAAACGCCTAACACCGTGGGTTTGGTCATCTTGACTTTATTCCCTTAGGCTAGGTCCGGGCTTGTTTTTTCGTGAAGAAATCCGAAAAAGGCCTATCAACGGGGCTTTGATCAACTTGACTATATTCCCTGAGACTAGAACCGGGCTTGGCTTTAAATGATTGTTAATACGTACTAAAAAGTCAAATCACCGTGGATTTGGTCAGCTTGACTTTATTCCTGGAAGCTAGAACCAGGCTTGATTTCTGCTTAGAACTACTAAAAAGGTCTATTACCGTGGGTTTGGTCAGCTTGACTTTATTCCTGGAAGCTAGAACCAGGCTTGATTTCTGTTTAGAACTACTAAAAAGGTCTATTACCGTGGGTTTGGCCAGCTTGACTGTAATTCCAAATGCTAGAACTGGGCTTGGTTTTTCGAGAACGGCCTTTCACCGTGGGTTTCGTGAGCTTGACTGTATTCCCTGATGCTAGAACTAAGCTTTGGTTTCCGTTAATAAAGTATTATTAGAAAGGCATATATCCGTATATTTTGTAAGCTTGGCTGTATTCTCCGAGGCTAGAACCGGGCTTGGTTTTCCGTTAAGAATAACAAGAAAGGCCTATCACCATGGGCTAAGTCAGCTTGACTGTATTCTCTGAGGCTAGAACCGTTCTTGGAATTCCGTTAAGAACTAATAAAAAGATCCATCACCATGGGTTTGGTCAGATTGACTGTACTTCTTGAGGCTAGAACCGGACTTGGTTTTTGTTAAGTGGGTTTTCGTTAAGAACTATTAGAAAGGCCCATCACCGTTGTTTTTGTCAGCATGACTGTATTCCCTGAGGCTGGAACCGAGCTCGCCTTGTCGTCATGAACTAATAGAAAGGCCTATCACGGTGGGTTTGGTAAGCTTGACTGTATTCTCTGAGGCTAGGTACAGGCTGGGTTTATCGTGAAGAACTACGAAAAAGTCCTATCACCTGCTAGAAAGGCCTATCACTGTAGGTTTGGTCAGCTTGACTGTATTCCTTGAGGCTAGAACCAGGCTTGACTTTTCGTTAAGACCTGCTAGAAAGGCCTATCACTGTAGGTTTGGTCAGCTGTACTGTATTCTCTGTGGCTAGAACAGGGCTTGGTTTTCATTTCTGTCACCATTCCCATCTCATTTTTATCATTTTGTTCTTCCATCCCACTCTAAATACTGTGTTCTCGTACAACCATCTTTTCCTTGCACCCACTCCCACCATCTTATCTTGTTTTTGCATCATCCCAAAATCTTCTTCTTGCATCCTCTTCCAATAATCTTGCTTCTGCTACCCCCATCCCCAACATTTTGTTCTTGTGCAAACCACTCCCTTTCCCTAAATTTTGTGATTGCATCCCCCTCTAACCAGTTCTTTCACCCTAAATCATCGTCTTGCATTGCCTTCCCAAAATCTTGTTCTCGCATCGCCATCCCACCACTTTCTTCTCGCATCCTGTTCTACCATATTTTTTTTGTATCCTCCTCCCGCAGACACTCAGAAAACTGTTTATTCTTGCACTTCTCATCCAACATTTTTTCTACCTTGTTTTAATGCTTCTCTAAATTTTCAGTACGTTGAGTTGTTTAGTCCAAGTTTTGTTTTAGAAGATGATTCTCGCAGCAATATAAACCGACCTAATAACCTTATTTCAACGCCAATGTTGAAACGTGTTTCGTGCGGCTGATATTATTTCGTATATTCAATTATATTATATTATTATATTCAATTAAGGAACCCACTGGTGAAAAAAAAGATGTCACAATAATGTATAAGAGCCTTGGCCGAATTCGACAATAAAACAGTGAAACCTAATTCTACAGAAAGGTCAATCTATATTAAAGTAACATTAATGGATATTCTTTCCTTGAATAACCATAGATCGCATTTTGTACATAATTTCATTAAGGGTATTCGTACCCTTACTTTGTCTCATTTGTATACATTCACTTACATACATATATACACCGATCACATCAAACATGCACACATCCCTTTTAATTAATGAATTTCAAGAGACATAATCTGAGCCGCGTCATGACAAAACCAACATAGTGCATTTGCGACCAGCATGGATCCAGGCCAGCCTGCGCAACCGCGCAGTCTGATCAGGATCCAAACTGTTAGCTTAAAAACCATATTACATGTAGAGAAACTGATAGCGAACAGCATGGATCCTGATCAGACTGCGCGGTTGCGCAGGCTGGTCTGGATCCATGCTGGTCGCAAACCCATTATGTTGGTTGTGACGTGGCTCATATGTAATTTTTATTTATGTCCTCCACACGAGGAAGTCAAAAACTACATGACAACACCAACTTTTTGCTACCTTTAAGACGCATTACTGCAAGCTCAACACTTCTTTCTCCATTTGTTAAACATTTTAAACACACGTTTGACATTTCTAAAGAAAAAGAAGATGGATTTCTGAGGCATTATGTGCCTTGTGGTTGTTGTTTCAGAGCTTTAAAAATTTTATTCCTAAAGTTTATCTTTAGCAATCGTGACCTCATTATGCATTAGACTAACCATTTATAAAAATTTTGCAGAGGAGTACTCCTGTGAAGTTTGGTCAAAATCTACCTATGATTTAGGAGAAGATATTTTGTTTAAAGAAATTGTGGATAACGACTAATTACGGACACTTTCATTTGAGCACAAAGTGCGCATGTGATTTAAATACAAATGTACTAAGACGATCACGTTTCCAAATAAAACCACTAACATGATTTTATATCGTGTAAAAGAATGAACATCAAGTGACAAGATGCAAAATTTATTCCCTAAATAGATATAAAATAACGTAAAGTATTTTTCACCCCAAAGACGCCTTGAAATGATTTTAATGTAAGATAAAGGCTTACCAAAGAGATGCACTTACGGAATTCATAGCGGTGTCACGGTATCGATGTAGGCTTAACAAAATTTATGTAAGTAAATCAACTGTTGAATGGTCACTCGGTATCAAATGTGATGTATTACTTAACTGAACAAAAGCGTCTAAATTCGCCATGTTCTGGTGATATAAAGGAACAGCCTTGAGCTCCACAATTTATTATTCGGCAGAAAGTGCTAGAGTGCGTTCATTAATAGCTTTTTAATTAAGAATGTTGGGGTTTTCGGCTAGGTTTGTTTTATTAATTACATTGGTTGGAGTGTGTGCGTGTCAGGTGTTTCAGTCGGGGGAGTGTCCAAAAGCGCAGGTTCAGCAGAATTTCGATATAAAAAAGGTACGGTTGTGTTTTTAAGAATTATGCAGGAGTATTTTTACATAAAACAGACCTACAGAAAAAATTATTTGACTGGTTTTATGTGATAATTTTGGTAATGTGAAGTCTCTTGTTAAACATATAGTTTTTAATACCGATCATTTATCCCTTTTCTGTAATTTTTGTGAAAAAAAACTGTACTGTAAATTTGTTTTTAAACCATGACTTCCGTTCTAGTTCAGGGTGAATGTCATTACAGTTTGATCAGGTCCGTTGTCTAAATATTTGAAGCTTCTTTATTTTTCCAGTTTTGCTTGCAGATTTTTTTCCTATGCGGTAATATTTTGATGACAATATGTGTCACAATTTCTTCAAGCATATCAGGAAAAGTATAAAAGCTACAATGGAAAATATGTATCATTGAAATCGGAAAATTTTGGTCAGATAGATAATGTATGTTTATTATTCAAATAGTGTATAAGATATAACGAAAAATTAGCGAATACAATTAACGGTCAGCCAGTGTTACCGTAAACAAATGTCACGTGATCAACTACCTTGGAATTATATGATGTTTTCGGGGCAATTTTATGTTCAGTAGTAGAACATTAGTACGCGGAGGTCGCCATTTAAAGTATTTCAGTCAAATAATGAGGACAGAATGGAGATGACCCTCGCACGTGACAAAGATGTACTAAACAAAATTGGAAACAAAAGAAAAAAAACGAAAGCAACAGCCGTTTTGGCAACATTATATTATAACCGGAAATCATGAATATTTATCAATTTATTAGGATCCGAAATTCTAGATGCTGCTTCTTTCTATTTTAACGTTATGGTGCAGATTTTCTTTTTTTATCTTTTGTATTAGGATTACGCCCACATTTAATTTAAAAAATCTGAAACAGGAAAAATGAAATATTGTACGTCTGCCTATAGCTCTTTTAATACGCACCTAGTTGACACGCAAAATCGATCGGATGGAATATTTTTGCGCATGCGCAGTTTGCAAAAGATTTTTGGCCTACACAGAAATAAATTAACACATTCATTGGCAACTGCACGCTATGTTTTTGTCTAATACTTTTATTTTATTTTGTTTTAAGTATGTTGGAAAATGGTATGAACAGAGACGATTTGCGTTTGCTTTCGAAGCGTTCCAAGATTGTGTCACTGCCGAATATACGCTGAGAGATGACGGTCTTATCACCGTTAACAACACAGGATATAACACATTGTAAATATGTATATTTTTATAATACACATATCTCAAATATTGATAATATATACCATACTTGACTTGCATAAGCCTTTTGGTGTTGATTTTGACTTCTTGTTTTTTGTTGTTGTTTTTTTCTTTTTGTTGTTGATTTTGACTTTTTTTACTAATAAAACGCACTTAAGTAGCTTCTTACTTATTTTGATCAAACAAATGTATTTCCAGAGCTGATATATAAACGAATTTCCTTATTCGACATATTACTTGAGATTTATTGAATACGAGATTTTTTCAAATTTGAAAAATGCTGTTGTTTTTTCCTCTCCCTCTCTCTCGTGTAGGACGAGGTCATACTCGACTAATATGGGCGATGCTGCATCGATGGATCCAAACAATCCTGCTAAACTTGGTGTCAAATTCTTTTCAGGTATTTCTTTTCTTTGATGATAAATCTGGAAACTGATCTATACAGTTTCTTAAAACTGCATAATTATGCTGATTTTAGTCATTTATAATTTTTGCTTTTGCAATGTGAAATATCTTTCTTCTTTGTGAGCTATCTATATAATTGAAGTATGCAATGTATAAATTAAATAAATTTATAACCTGTATTACATATTTTATCAATTTCATTTTTGCTTATCTACATTTAAATTTCATTCACATTCAATAAACATAAACCTTAAGAATTACGAACACTAACGAGCATATGGTACATGAGCCGCCATTACGGTATTTTCTTAATGAATGTCAACACAGTTCGTGGAAAACACACCCTCGCGTGACAAAAATGTACTGAAAATATGTATTTAGAAGAGTGACAGTGGCTATCGCACTAGCACGTCGAAAGCGTTGCACAAAAAAAATGTTTTCATCGTACGAAATACAGACAACGAACGCGGAATTAAAGATTTCGACGTCAACTATTATGTAGGAATTGTTCGTGCACTACCATCTGCAGAAACTGTGGGCTCAGGCATTAAATTCGCCTTCGTGCTTCAGCAGATGGTAATGCAAGAAAAAGGGTGCATCGGCGCTAGTCTTGCATGAACGTTTAAGTTGAAATCCATATATGTAACTATCTTGTCATTTTACAGGTCAGCCACGAGGCGATTACTGGGTTCTCTCAACGGACTACACCTCCTACACCGTAATATGGTCATGTGGCACAACATCCGTTGGACCTCTTGGCCACTTCAATACTGGTAAAGCTTAATTCTATATGTGTATAAGCATACGTAAACTTTAATTTACCAAACCAGCAGTTATGCTAAAAGCTTTAATTTATTATTGTACTCCTGACCCCAGTGGCTAAGTAGGAAAAGTGCTTGCCTCTGAACAAATCGATAGAGAGTTCGAGCTTGCTGTAGTTTCATTACATGACAACAGTACTGGTTAGTACAAGGAAGCGCTTTAGAGGTTCAAATAACCTTTTAAGTTCTTCTTCACATTAAAACTATAATAGATATACCTTTCTAGAAAAATCTTGTATCCTTGCAGGGTTAAAAACTTGATTAATTTGAGAACATGTGTGGGATTTTCTTTCTTTTTTGTGAATCTAGAAGTATTTCCTCCTGCTTTTTTTACCTTACCTGCATGCATAGTTTATAACTGAATTTGATACTTTCACGGAAGTTACGTTTGATTCATGTTGCATGGAATAATGAAATATAGCGGAAGAAACCTAATCGTATCATTTTCATATAGGTCACAAATTAACATTATGTATGTGCACCACAGTGTTAAGTTGTTTTTTTTTTTTGTTGCTAACCATTGGTTTTAGGAAAGAAAAAAAAAGTATGTTGATGAAATTTATAACTCGTGAAAGGTTTAAAGATATTAAAACATAATATCCGGAAATGGAGGCTTTTTAGCTCATAACTTTTGGTTTTAATTAACGAAACAAAACTTGTTATTTTAATAAACAAAACGGAGCTTTTGATTTCAATAAACGAAATGGAGATTTCGATTTTAATAAACGAAATGGAGCTGTTGATTTTAATAAACGAAATGGACCTGTTGATTTTATTGAACAAAATTGAGCTTTTGGTTACATGTGTACGTTGTATATCATAATAATTCACAATTTACCTTTCTTTTCAGAACTTAGTTGGATATTAACCCGTACCCCGGAAGGTATACCGGAGTCAAAGATGAACCAGCTTTTAGAATTAATGAAAGGTTATGGAATAAATACATCCAAGTTTTCCGTAACCAACCAGAGGAGTTGCCCTGGGAGAAGTTAATATTTCATCCATTGCTTTATGTTGTGAAAATATCAATATCTTTTGTTTTTCGTATTTTTTATTTGTACGAGTATATCATATTTTATACAATAAACCTGAAGGAAAAACTGTCATTTCATAGCATGTCATTTACTTAAATACGGATTGTCTCCAATTAAATTACGCTGACAACATCTGAAAAAATTACAAAGTATGCTTCCTAATAAGTAATGATCTTATTTAATCATCTTCGTCTTAAAGTAATAATTATGTACCTATATATTTAATCAGTTAAGATTGCGAAGTAGGATAAACAAATTAAGTCACGAGTGTTAAGTAGGAGTAATTTAAGACAAACTATTTTGAACGATTAATACAAACGGTTTTAATTCGAACAACAACAACAACAACATGTATTTCTGTTATCCCTGCTGCTGCTACTATTACTACAACAACAACAACAACAATATGCATGTTATATTTATTATTATTATTATTATTGGTATTATTATTATTATTATATCATCATCATCATTATCATCGCAATTATCGTCATCTTATCAATCATCAACAACAAGAGCAAGAACAACAGAACCACTATCAATAACTCTGTATTATTGTTATCATTCTAAATGTATAATAATTGGTGTAGCTGCTTAAATGATATTGAACGAGAAATCGAAAGCATCATAGTTTCAAATTCACCTTTTGATACTAACACGTTATAAGCATTTACCTTAAAGGGCCATTATGCCTCATAAATGCTAACAATTATATATTTCTGAAAAACTTTTTATTTCTGGTTTCTTGTTGAAGTTTTTAAAAAATACTAATTAGCCATATTCATAAAATATCTTTTGCTACTTTTACTCTGTAGGTATAATTATAGTGAATTACTATTTTGTATGAAAGTCAAAATACTTTGTTTACATTTTGCTACCTTTACGACACATTACTGCACATTGAGCGCTACTTTCTTCAGAAGTTATAAATAAACGTCTAACATGTTCTTAATCAATTATTAAAACATTTTTAAACACATGTTTGACATTTCTAAAGTATTAGAAAAAAATGAACTTCTGAGGCATAATATGACTTTAAATACCATTTGCACCAAAATAAAAAAATAAAAAATAAAAAAAAAACGCACATTTTATTTATTACATCAACATCAAAAGAAGAGATTAGTCTAATTCCTAATTCTAATTTAATCCCGGCTAAACTTGTATTATACTTTCGTGTTAATTAATCGCTTAATCCCAAATACGTGTTATTTTCTGATCCAAATACACACTATCCCTACCTCGTGAGAGAAAAAAAACATAATTCGAATGATATTTAATTCTAACATTGAATATAATGCCAGAAACAGAATAGAAACACAAATTTAACGTGAAATGTGGAATTATGCCAGGAACATATATGTTTTGTATACCACATTTGGACAAGTGTTTGTTCAGAAGGAATAACTTGGAAATAAAAAAGGAAATATTACGCGAATAATAAAATGAATTTGTGAATATCAAGATAGGAAATATAATAATGAGTTTTACAGATGATAAATCTATAACTAAATAATCAAAAGTTCCGGTGTTAGTTAGTGTATATACAACAGAAGGTACGCTATATTTATCTTTATTTTCAAACTTGTGAAACGTATACCAACACAGTTAATAGATTATGTGCACATACAAAATATAAGAAAAGGATTATTCCAAAAGAACAAAATTGCAGACTCGATGTTTTTCTATTCCTATTTTTTGTATGTGGTCTGCTTGATAAATCAATATAATTTGATTCCAATTCAACTCACAAAATGTTATTAATGCAGCAGTTAAAGGCCTATTAAGTCTCAGATTTGCTGTCGTTTTTATTTCTCAAAAACATTTTACTTTTCTTGTATCTCGTTTGACATTTCTGAAGAATTAAAAAAATATAAATTTCTGAGACGCAATGTGCCTTTAAGTGTTCGCCTGCTGGCAGCTAGAAAATCTACCTATGCAACCAGTGCAGACCAAGATCAGCCAAAATATCCGTGCCTTCTAATCATGGTCTGCACTGTTCGCTTTTCAATCAGTGCATATTTTGATATTCTCCGCTTAAAAGGTGTGTCTATGTTTTTTTGTTCTGATTTAAATTTTCAATATAAGATGGACAAGTTCATTTAAGACACAGTTAGTATGATAATTCTATAAAGTAATCAAGTTATCCACATATATTGGCCTTGTAATAAGCTACGGATGCTTTGAGAAGCCTTTTACTTTGCGAATTAATATCAATTTATTCAACGAGTAATATAAATCTGGTAAAGAAGATATTCAAATAGAATATTCTATTTATTTCAATGAAATTAAATTAAATAAGAATAGATTAGATCTACATTAACAAAGGATCTGATTCGTGTAGTAACTTACATGAATGTGTTCCTTTAAACATGATTGCAAGAGGGCCTTTAAATGATATTTGAGCCGCGTCATGACAAAAACCAACATAATGGGTTTGCGACCAGCATGGACCCAGACCAGCCTGCGCATCCGCGCAGTCTGATCAGGAATCATGCTGTTCGCTTACAAACCCTATAACAAGTAGAGAAACTGATAGCGAACAGCATGGATCCTGATCAGACTGCGCGGATGCGCAGGCTGGTCTGGATCCATGCTGGTCGCAAACCCATTATGTTGGTTTTGTCATGACGCGGCTCATAAATTCAAATACGACGTCTGCAGTTCAGCAGAAAAGTAGAGACAGCTTTAGCGAGACAAAAAAAAATATTATTCCATCGGAACCTCAAAAACAAGGTATATTTTAAAAGAATGTAACTTTTGAAAGCACTCAGCGCCTTTTACTTGATATGTTTCTGTTTCAGCAATATGAAATATTCACTTATAGAGGTCTCCCTTTTGTCGTTCTAGTGAAGTGTGCAGTATAGTATGAGAAAAAGGACATTAATACACTTGTTACTATATATAGTAACAAAATTGCCTATGATTTCAACTGATTATGAGTGTCACGTGACCTATTATGAGTTTGCGGCCCGGAGCCGAGAACTATCAGCCCGCCGAACATGTACACGTGCACAAACTGAAACAATGACGTCATATTTTACGTCATCAAACAGTTGACTGTAAAAATGAAAGTAGGTTTTAAGCACGAATCGCTTGATTTTATTATGAGAGCTTTAAGCGTATTTCGTACAAAAATACAAATATCATATGCTTGCATACCATTTAAGTCACATATAAGTTCAAATCCATTTTCTAGTGGCAACAAATTCAGGAACGTCCAAACTCATGTGTGTGTTTTTTTTCTTTCTTTTTTTCAAAATTCGCGATGCAACTCTTCCTTTAGCCAAAAAGATGCGACACAAATTTTCTTATTTTTCTTCTTTAGAAGATGAACACCGCTCCAGTACCAATCAACCGTGGCACAGAGCGCAGACGAAGTAGTACAACAATCCGTCGGATAAGCTTTTGTAAAGTTGACACCGTTGGCAATAAGAGGTCCTTAGATCTGTTAACCGGATTACCACAAGATGGCCCGAAAGTTAGCATCCCGGAAGCTGCATGGAATCCTAAGGAAGCCACGAGCAAAAATTTAAACAGATCTTCGTCAAAGAACCTCATTGATGGAAGGTTAAAAACAAATTTGATTTTCACCCTACCAATTTTGTGTTTAGCACCGATACAAAGGTCCTCGATTTAAAGTCTCATTCGAAAGACTGATTAGTAAGATTAGTTGGCCAGCCCGGGAATCGAACCCACAATGTCGAGATTACAAGCCCTCTAACCGATTGAATTATGCGGGCAACGCCACTGCTGCTTTTAGTAATTATAGTTGTAGATTCTATCATAGTTTGGAGAATTTACTAAGTTAAATCGTATACAGTACCCAAAAAATGCACAGTTCGTTAACTGGAGTGCAGGTATTAGTTGCCCGCATTCCAGTTACCGCACTGCCTGTCGGGGATAAAAATAGAGCATGCTGGTTGATTGACGCAATTTGGTAGATATTTACGTATTCTGATGACAAGTAATAGAAAGAGCATCGAAACACGAGGCTATCTGATTTGTACGTGGGGGCGTAGCCTAGCCCCCGAGTATACATCAGATTGCCGAGTGTTTTGATGTTCTTTCTCTTTTGTCAAACATAAAAACACGTTCCCTGATACCACAATTTGAAACCCCAAAAGAAAGTTACCAATGAACGAGCATCTGAGTAATATATTTCCATCGCTATCCCTTTCTCTGTCGTCACAATAGGTAAACCCCGGACAAAATGAACCAATCAATAAGAATGCTCTGAAGTGCGGGTAACTAATACCTGCACTCCAGTTAACGCACTGTGCATGTATATGTATACGATTTAACTCTGTCACATTTTTCAACAGAAAGGTCCCCAAACTATGATACAACGATAGAAAAGTCACATTCAAATGCTCGTTCATTGGTCACTTTTTCTAGGGTTTCATATTGTGACAACAGGGAACTGTTTTTATTTTTTTCCGTGATACAAGAGAAAATCTGATTTACGCCCCTCAAACAAATCAGATATTTTCGTGTTTCGATGATGAAAGAGCTCAAAAGGAGCGACGCTGGATCAAAAAATTGATTTAGCTTACAAAATACACCACATAAAGTTATAACAGCGCAGCCATTTTTGGAGTGTAGAGAATATTTCATTATTTGCAGACGATATATTTGGTCTGAAAATCATTAAAGGTTTGCACGTGTGCAGCCATTTTTGGAATGTAGGGAACATCTTATTATCTGCAGACGATATTTCTGATTTTGAAACCATTGAAGTTTTGACGTGATTTTTCATCAACCTATCCTAAAATATATTAAATTTGTCATAGCCAATTGAAGTTACTTCTGGAAACGTTTCTGCTTATTAGTAAAACAACGACTTGATTGATCAAATTTATAATTTTACTGGAATTAATTTGCATCTGTCTTCTTCCTTATTATTTTTGACATGGAATGCCTTTGACATGTCTGTGACAAATTGAATTGTACAAATTGTCTTTGATGACATAACAATAAATGAGCCGCGTCACGACAAAACCAACATTCTTGGGTTTGCGACCAGCATGGATCCAGACCAGCCTGCGCATCCGCGCAGTCTGATCAGGATCCATGCTGTTCGCTTACAAACCCTATTACAAGTAGAGAAACTTATAGCGAACAGCATGGATCCTGATCAGAATGCGCGGATGCGCAGGCTGGTCTGGATCCATGCTGGTCGCAAACGCATTACGTTGGTTTTGTCGTGACGCGGCTCAAATGTATGATTTTTAAATCTACTATATCTATAACATCAATTGGTCTAACGAGTGCTTAGATCATAAATAATTTGACTGTCAAAACTTCAAAAGGATGTATTACACAAATTGTCGAGAACAGACTCCGCCACATAATTAATTTTTAAAAATGTGAAGGAAGGCCAAATTAATTATAACATGAAATACAAAGATATATTAAAGGCCCATTATGCCTCAGATTTGCTTTTATTCTAATTTCTCAAAAACGTTTTATTTCTGGTATCAGGTTACAGTTTCTTAAAATTTACTTATTTGCAATATAGACGAAATGTTGCTTTTTTCCTATGTTGGCGATTGGTGAATTATAGTGAATAAATATTTTGTATAAAAGTCAAAATACCATTGTGTTTACATGTTGTTAACTTTATGAAACATAACTGCAGATTCAATGCTAATTTCCACAATCATGCTCTATATCCATCCATCATTAAAACTTTTTTAACACATGTTTGACAATTCTTAAGTATTAAAAAATATGGATTTTTGAGGTACAATGTGCCTGTAAGGAAAACAATAAATAAAATGAGTCTTTTTTGTGAGTGGGGAGTATTTCATACCATTTATTGCTAAGACTGGTTCAGTGTTCATTCCATTATTTAAACATTCTTTTCAGATCTCTTTACTCGATCCGCCGAGAAAACATTGCCTCCAGAGACATGAGCTTTATAAATGGCCCGATCAATCCAAACGATGGACCAGCCTCAAATATAGAGCATTTAATCGAGAAGAATTACATTGTTAACAGCCAGCTATCTAATGCAACTCCTGAAAAGTTCCCCAGGGTGATCATGAGTCAGTTTCACCGTGTTTCCGGAAGTCCTAACAGTATGTCATACGGAATGCCTCGGCCACCATCGCGGGACAAATTTCAGGAGGTAACACTTAATCTATTATGGTTCCCATCTAAGATAGCACTTTTAGAAGTGCGCAGGGATTCAGTCTTATAGGCAATATCCTACGCAGTGATCTCCCCTTATCAGTTCAGATTACAATCTGCCAAGGGAGGTAATCACTATGAGGAGTTTGGAAGATAGGTGGCTGTATCTTGAAGGCTTGATTAGCTATTTACTAACCGTGTTCAAATGAACATTACATTTAGGAAATGGTTACAGGGAATGGTGTGATATATGATATATTCTTGTATGAAATAATTTAGCTTATCTTGAGACTTTAAATGCAGCTTTAAAGCGGTTTCAGGACACTGAAATAAAGGCCCATTATAATAAAGTCCTCAAATATGCTATAAAATAATATATCTTTCAAAAGCTTTTGGTTTCTGAGGTCTGTTGGAGTTTCTGAATTACACATTAATCAAATAGCAGCACCATATTTTCATACTTCATATATGAATTGGCTGTGTCAGTGTGACCTTAACTAACAAAAAGAAATCAAAATGTAAAAGGTCATTCAATGAAAGTACATCTCTTCTAAAGCTCGTATCCATTATAGCTTTATTGCTTTACTTACGATGTGGTAACTATAGGTCTGATTTTGATTAATAAATATTCCAGTAATTACATATTTATATAGCCACTCTAGTTATTATATTTCCATATATATGTTATATTCCTATGTATATATGTGTGCTAGAAATTAACTATGATTAAGTATAATTATGGACCTTTCAAACCATTATTAATTGTCATATCGTCACCTTAGTGCAGTAACGGATTAACTCCAAGTAAATTTTATAAGGAGTTAACCCGTTACTGCACTAAGGCATGATACTGTATATTTGGATTAAAGTACAAAATGAATGAATGATATGTTTGTGAATGACTTATAGGTATACGGAATACCGGCGGTGACTTTAGACTTAATTCAAGAGTGAAGTATCAAGTCCCTACCTCAGTCTTTCGTACATTATCACTTATTTAATCTAAATCTTTTTTCAGGTAGTGGAAGGAATAAAAAGGGAACCAAGCATTGTGCGTATAAAAGAGTACCCGTCACTCCAAGAACCAGTGCACTGCACAACGTTGGACGAATTCTGCGAAATTTTGGGTCCAAGCGCGTGCAACACATGTATTGAAAATACAAACCGGTTTATCGGTGAGCAGCTACAAGACATGGTCTTCCCTACCATTGACATCACCGCTGATAAACTTATTGCTCCGAAACTTGCCAAACTTTTCCGTGACGGACACAGAAGTCAAGTTCGAAAAAAGCGAATTCGAGAACTTGGATTCGAGTTTCCCGAGGACCTGATGACCCTCACTAGAAGTGAGACCCATTTGTCGGACAGCACGTGCCACCGATGTAAGAAGCCGCTAAAAGTTCCGACATTGAAAGTATCCGCACCTTACGGTCGGCTAGATATTTCAAGGAATGAGCGATTATACGCCCGGACAAAAGATTTAAGAACTTCTAGATTTTAATTACTATACAGACAGCACTTATAGCTATTAACTATTGATTAGTGCAAAAAAGTTAAATGTCAAAGATATTTCGATATGATGTCTAACATTGAAATACTTATTGAAAAGATGTTTCTGTGATAAAGTTGCATATGTTAATTAAAACAGTGTTACTATTATTCACGAAGTTTTCTAAATACAGTATTTCTACCATTTTAGCACTTCAGATGGGTCATGCATCACCCTGATATAAGTACTATTATAGTTAATGTAGTCCGTGAGTTTGAGTATAAAGTCACACTTTGACTGTACCAGTGTCACAATTACGTGACAATAATGTTATACAATTTTCCATCATATGAGCATGTTTTCTCACAACAAATTGCCAACATCTTCTCATGTGGTACAATATTTGAAACAGGAGACATGAAACACATATTTACTTTAACCTTTATCACAGCGTTTCCTTCAATCGAGTTTATTTAGGTAAATGGCATATCCTTCGTAAAGAAATATATACTAAGACAATCGTTACTGCTTGACTCACTAACACCAATAAACCCAAGTTAACGGATGTCAAATTATTAAGTATAGGTAAGGCCGTTATTTCATTTATACGTGATCAGTGGTCCGCGTCAGTGATCCGTGTCCTACACTATTTTGGTGACTTCTTTAGTATTTTCTTTCGAAACCGATAAAGTATTTAATTTCGTTCGAGGCATTCTGTAGGGATGAGACATGTCAGTGACTGTCCGCGTCCGTAAAAAATCGCTCATCCTGCGAAACGTCGCGGATGCCGTCGCGGAAGCGGATGGTAAACGGACAAAAGGAATAGATTCAACGTATTCTTTGATTAGCGAATCGGTAACGGATGCGGATGACGGACGCGGACCACTGATCACGTATAAATGGAATAGCGGCCTAACACGTTACCCGTAAACCAACACGTGCTTCCTATTCTAGAAATGTTTGTGTTACAAGAAGCTATCCGAGCAGCGCGAAAACAAGGCTGACTTACAAATGTATAGGCCTAATACTGTTGATGTAAACACTGATGGTCGTCAGCAGAACGTAATTCTCATTCTGTAGAAACTCGGTTACCTCCCTTGTCTCGAGAATTACAACACTGTTAATCATCAAAGAATAGATTTTAGTCGAATTTTAAAATCATACCGACGATTATATGCCCCGTAATGATGATTTGGTACCTTTAAAGAACTCCAATGAGTTCCATATTTTTTTTAATTTCTTACATAGATCAGCTTGGGCACTTAAAACAGAGAGATCTGCTAAAAGATAATGCAGACATATACTCAAGAAATACATTGAAAATCGTATTTTGTGCTATTCTAGGTATCCGATTTAAGTGAAAAGCGCTTGCAGATCCACGATGTCCCTCCATGATATTTTTCTTTTGTTTACCAGACCGAAAGACGCCCTGACCAAGACACCGACCTTCCGCAGGCAACCTGGATTACTTCTTCACAATTTAAGATTCGAACAAACTGTAATTATGACAACGTTGACTTTGCTGTCATCGTATCAGCTAATCATCGAACTGCATTCATATACATGTACTAAAATGAAACTATAACAGTTTTATCCCATCGGTGAATAATAAAATAGAACAAAACTGGTTTCAATTGTTAATTATTTTATTAATATAATTTTGCATTTTAATATAAAAATTCATAAAATTCACAAAAGCATCATTCTAACCCATTCTGACAATATGTATGAAAATGAAACAGAAAATTAAAACCACAAAATAGAGCATTATAAACAATATATTTCAGCGGGGAAACAATGTACATGACAATACTACTATCATTAAAAGCCCAAGCAATCAACTAACTTTTGCGGATAACTTCTAAAACCAAGTTTCCAAGTACAATTTATCAAGTCTAATGGCATATAGCCAATTAACTTGGTCTTTTGATCATTAAATGATAAGATTAGTGAGCCGTGTCATGACAAAACCAATATAATGCGTTTGGAACCTGCATGAATCCAGACCATCCTGCGCATCCGCACAGTCTGATCAGGATCCATGCTGTTAGCTTACAAACACTATATCAAGTAGAGGAACTGACAGCCAACAGCATGGATCCTGATCAGACTGCGCGGATGCACAGGCTGGTCTATTCCATGCTGGTCGCAAACCCACTGTGTTGGTTTTGTTATGACATGGCTTAATTTTACACACATTCATTACATGAAGGGACAATAAGTCCCAGATTACATGGCAAGGACATTTCAACCTAAATTTGCTCCATGGACAGTAAACCCATGTAAAGAGACTATAATGGTCAAATCTCCCTACAAATTTATCATATACAACATAAATTGTCACCTTAGTGCAATAACTGATAAACTGCTATTAAATAGAAGGACTTATTCCGTTATTGCACTAGGGCAACACATTTTTAAATCCTACCCTGACGTTTTTTTCTAATAGAAACACTCCTTCTTTGAATCAGAAACGGGCATTGTCAATTCAAAGGTATTTCAATATTAAAGTAATGAGAAAAATACACTTGTAAAAAGTCACAGCCAACTTCCTATTATCACAAGAAAGGTAAAATTTCCTTCTTGAAAGGTACAAGTTAAAATATCCAGATAAAGATAGTGACAGGTGCTTGTATTCTTGGCACTAATTGAATTGTATTGATAAATAAGACAAAGAATAGAGATTTCAATCACTGTAAAACTTTAAAGTGTCCAAGAAGGTCAGGCTGTATATAATAGCTGGGTGGCTTGGTATTGCAATTTCTTGTGACATTTACTGACAATAACCTTGACCCTGCTGGCAGCAATTGAATTTGCCCATGCAACCTGTGCAGACCACAATCAACGACCTGTGCAAAGCACAATCAGCGACCAATGCAGACCACCATCAGCGACCCGTGCGAACCACTATCGGCGACCATGCAAACCACAATCAGCTTACACATACGTCCAATCAGTGACGTTGATATCATTATCTATATCTACATCTCTGGTGCAATTTGATCATGGTCTGCACTGTTTATTATTAAATCGGGATCTTTTTCTGAATTTTCCCCCAAACATGATAAATGGTCTTGTGCAGATTGAAAGATGGACAAGTCCAATAAAGACATTGAGCATGGCAGGGATTAAGACTATGTTACTATTTATAGATTATATTACAATAACATGCAACGCGGCTATTGGACTAAACTATAGTATCACTTGATAACCTTAGCATTTCTCAGTGCTATAAATCAGTTAGTTATGGAATGTACTTATTTTTCACTTAGCTAAAAAGAAAAATACTTAACATTTTATAACAAAGGCAATGTATACATGTATTTCCCACAATTATATTTAACTACTTAAAACACCAAACAGAAAGTACAGGTACTTTGAAGTACAAAAGAAGTACATGGTTATAAATGAAGTAAAAACACTTGTTTTGTAGAACCATTTTTTTTACTGTTGATCAAAAAAAATAAATTGACACAGAATATGCTTGTTCAATTTTTTTTTTCAGAAATATACAATCAATGTATTTCTGTAAATATGAAAACTTCAATTAAAATTCGTCAAAAAATGTTACTCTAAATATTATTGACATAAAATGGTTATCTTGATAATTCTGCATAAACTTTCTATCAATTTACTCATTTCAAAAGTCGATTTTGAATACAAAAAAAATACTTGTATTATGTTATATAAATCTTACTAGTTCAAGATGATATCAAAAATGTTTAGCAAAAATGTATAAATAATAAATGCCTTATAAAAACTATAAGGCTAAACTTACTGGCTTAGACTTTAAAACAACAGTTTCATCCAAAGACAGTTTAAACCCTTTATACTTATTGAACTCAAACAACAAAGCAATGTATAGCAAACAACCATGCAACTTGTCAGAAAAATATTTTTCTAATAAATATTATAAAGAGCATTGAAACACTAGGCTATCTGATTTAAGAGCATTGAAACACGAGGCTATCTGATTTGTATCAGGGAGCATGACAAAATAAATACATGTTCCCTGTCGTCACAATATGAAACCCCAGAAAAAAGTGTCCAATGTGCGAGCATCTGAATATGACTTTTCTATTGTTATCCCTTTCCCTGTCTGTCATCATAATAAGTAAACCCCAGAAAAAATGAGCCAATCAACAGACATGCTCTATTTTTATGCCCAACAGACAGTGCCGTAACTAGAGTGTGGGTAACTAATACCTGCACTCCAGTTAACGTACTGTGCATTTATGGGAATACAATCCAACTCTGACATAATTTCTATAGAAAGGTTCCCAAACTATGATACAAACTGAAAATAATTCCGTATGATTTCCTTATATTTAAAAATAAATTTATGAAATTTTCTGCAGTCTGGTATACAATAAAGACAACATAAACAACATAATTGTGCAATGAAAATGAACAATTTAAACATGCAGTATCATAGAATAACATGTGGTGTTTGTATGGCATCAATAATTGTTAACACATACACATATAAACAAATTGTTCTCCCAATATAAGCTATAACATATCATTAAAAAACTTGATAACTCTTTAAAGCTGCATGCCTCCATATGAGACAAAAATATATTTTCAAAATTTTCATGAAAAATTTAGCATGAATCTGGAGGCATGCTGCTATAACCCATTAATACATGTAGCAATGAATGTAAACAAATTGATACTGGACCAAAAACAGTCACTATAAAGTAAACAACAAATATTTGATCATAAAAATAAACATGTAGCAAATAAAGGAAAGACAGAAAATCAGGTTTCCTTTTTTTGTCATATTGGTATCTTGACTTGTAAACTAATATACTAATATAAAAGATTACTAACAATACAAGAGCAGGCTAAAAGTTTCTTCATTTTCTAAAAAAAAACAAAAAACAAAAAACCCATCTACAATTAACAGGATTTCAATTAATCTAATGCATGGGTGCAAGTAAATAAAATATCAGAAAAACTGAAAACCTGAATTTAGTATTATTTGAATTGGTTTTATATAGAAAAAGAGAGCTTTCGAGAGTAGGAAAAAAGAAAGTTGAACTTCAGGTGAATGCCTGAAAACTTGTACCCATGCTTATGTTACAAAAAGCATATAGCATTTAGAAAGTAGCTGCTTTTTTCAGTTTTCAGCTATCTACACTAGTGTATAGTTAATATAAAAACAACTTGTGAAACTTTTAAGGTTACCATTAATTTTTCATTCCTTTATTTAATACACAGCCACAAATAACCCCCCAAAAATGGGATCAAATGATTTTGTTCAACAACGCAAACTATTTACTTTATATACATGTACGTGTATGTCTACAAGCAAATGCAAATAATTCTCTCAAACACGATAGTCAGGTCAAATAACATTAGAAGCAATTGCCAGAGAATCAAAATTTGCTGGTAGCCTATTTAATAACTATAAGCTTATAGACATACTTTCGAATTTGTTCCTGTAACTAACCAGTACTGAGCAATGACTGTAAAGTTTCTTGCTCAAGGAAAAATATGACTTGCCCCTGCCCCCTGACAGGGTTTGAACCCATGCGGCTTGTGATCACTAGATTTCTAGCCTGACACATTAACCAGGCCGCCATGCTGCCACTGAACAAGTTGTGATACGGAACAATGATGCCGACAGATTTTCATTACATTACCGTTGAATATAAAGTTTGCATCCGGGAAGTTAGAGAGTAATTAAGTTCTTGTACAAGTATCTGCAAATAATACTTGTACTTGGCTTACATGGATTTTAACAGAACATAACACACTTAGTGCTTAAGCCTGCGGCTGCCTAACCTAGTAAAATCTACTTGACTTAAATACTAGTTCAAGATCCAAATACTCATATAATTATAACATACATTTAAATGTACTTTACATAAATATTACATGTAGTAAATTTCGGATGGCCCATTTTTATAAAAATGTTTTCATTTGGTATTTACACAAATCACATAGCAATTTTATGTATAAATATATATATTACAAATGGTTCATGTCAAAATAACTACATTACAGGTAGCCAATGAGCACTTGTGGGTAATTTCATCACTTTGTCTTTCTATATAGTAGTTTGGGTTCATTTCGACATAATACTATTGCTGTAACTCAACATAATTTGCTGGGAATAATCCATTTTGTCCGTTAATTGTTCCTCTCCACCAACCTTCATCAATCTGCAAATGCATAAAAAAGGGACATTCAAATCCATTACAACTTATATAGTGTTGCAGAGTCTTTCTCCTTCAGAAATTGGGACAGTCCATGGCCAATTGTTACATTTAGCGCATAAAATGCCACATTTTTAGATAAAATATTTTATCACAGGATATAAATATACTACAAATATACCATAAATGCACCATCCAGTAAATGTTAATATTTAATTAGAGAATCTTTTTTTATTATTACTATTCTTTTGTTTTTCTGGGGGGGTTTTAAAGGCAGTTTTTTACATGTTTTGGTCATACCTCAGTGGCCTCCTGGATAACTAAACAGTAATTACCTATTTCACCACAAGTGACAAACTTACTAATCCTACATGATTTCTTAATTAGCAGTGAGAAACAAATGACCATTACACTCAATGTCCAAAATCAATTGTCACAAAGAAATTACGCCTTTCCCAAGAATCCAATCTCATTAAAATCAAAACAAAGTCCAGTCTCTACTGTGGTAACAAAGTGCAGTCACTATTGTGGTAACAAAGTGCAGTCACTATTGTGGTAACAAAGTTCAGTCACTATTTTGGTAACAAAGTTCAGTCACTATTGTGGTAACAAAGTGCAGTCTCTACTGTGGTAACAAAGTGCAGTCACTATTGTGGTAACAAAGTTCAGTCACTATTTTGGTAACAAAGTCCAGTCACTATTGTGGTAACAAATTACAGTTGCTATTGTGGCAACAAAGTCAAGTCACTATTGTTGCAACAAAGTCCAGTCACTTTTGTGGCAACAAATTTCAGTAACTATTATGGTAACAAAGGTCAGTCACTATTTTGGCAAAGACAGTTCAATACTCAGCAGAAAGTCACTGTTAACTTGAACACATTAAAATATTAAACTTTGCATTTTAACAGGATCACAGATTATTTATTAATGGATATATAATCTTACCATTTCAATATTTGTGATAATATCATCTGGATCAAATGTTATTTCATCTTCAGCAGCTAAAATAAATGAAAAAATAGTTTAGAAATTATACCAAAATGGCAGATAAAATATTAGATTTATAGGATATTGAATCCAAGAAATTTTCAGCAAATATATAATTATACACTTTGTAAAAAAAAACTGTTTTCATTTCTTCCTACATGTAAATTCCTTGTGTATAAATTTTGTTCATTTTGACAAGAAATTTTTAAAATACAATTCCTACAGGCATAATCCCATAAGGAGGAACACACACACACGACCCCTGTACGGTTATGAGATTGCTCCCTCATATGTCCACAAAAAAAATAATATCAAAACTATTCCTTAAGGAATCAAACCATGTTGGTGAGGAGTCATGGACATAAGTTAACTTACTAGCTTGATAATCATACAATGCAATGGCTGTTAAACCAGAAGCTCCTGACTGATCCTGACTTCCTGTTTCAACCCCAGTGTCTTCTGCTGCTGCATCGCCTGGAGTTTCAAAGTCGGGCTGCAACAAATTATTCAAAACGTTATTTGAAAAAAAAAAAAAAAAAAATCTTGAAAAACTTACTTTAATTACTACAACTGAAAAATGTTCATTAGAAATTCCATTTATTATTCAATAAAAATTATTTGAATAATAAACCTAGTATCACAAACAACTTAAAAATGGAACAATAAATTTATGCAACTTGAATATAAGAATAAATTTTTTTGGAATTTGTATATCAGAACAATAACTTTTTGTCATGTGAATTTCAGACTAATAAATTTATGTAATTTGAATTTAAGACTAATAAATTTATGTAATTTGAATTTCAGAACAATAAATTTATGTAATTTGAATTTGAATTTCAGAACAATAAAATTATGTTATTTGAATAGAACAATAAAATTATGTAATTTGAATTTCAGAACAATAAATTTATGTAATTTGAATATCAAAACAAGAAATTTAATTTGAAAAAAAAAAAAAACTGAACAATTTTATTTGAATAACAATAAATTTTACAAGAATGTCTGAACAGGAAATTAAATTCAAATAAAAAATAAATAAATTTCATTTGAATATCAGAACAATATATTTAATTTAAAACACAGAATAATAAATTGGATTTTTTTTACTTATATTTAGAACAACAGCTGTCCCTATGACAGCAGCACATTCATTCTTAGTGCTGGACAGTAAGAAAAGGGGCATAACTCCATAAACAAGAGGGCCATGATGGCCCTGAGGTCGCTCACCTGTATATAGCCCCCCCCCCCCCCCCCGGGGCCAATTTTTACCCAAGGGCTTTTATTTGTTTATTTGAACAGACTTGGTAGACACCCATAAGAAGATGTTTCATGCTAAACATCTAAGTTCTAGCTCATTGGGTTTTTTAAAAGAAGATTTTTTAAGTTTTTACTATACACATATAGTTAAAAACAATGACACCCCTGGGGCAGGGCCAGTTTTGACCCCCGGGCTTTAATTTGTAGATATTTACTTATAGATGTTTCATGCTTAATATCTAAACTAAAGCTATTTGGGTTTTTTCAAAGAAGATTTTTTAGTTTTTGCTATACACATATAAGGAAAATCAATGACCCCCCCCGCGGGGCCAGTTTTGACCCCAGGGCTTTCATTTGAACATACTTGGAAGACAACATTAGAACATGTTTCATGCTAAATATCTTAGCTCTAGCTCTTTGGGTTCTTTAAAAGAAGATTTTTAAGTTTTTACTATATGCATATAGGGAAAATCAATGACCCCCTGGGGCGGGGCCAATTTTGACCCCAGGGCTTTTATTTGAACAAACTTGGTAGACACTCACTAGAAGATGTTTCATGCCAAATATCTAAGCTCTAGCTCTTTGGGTTCTTTAAAAGAAGATTTTTTAAGTTTTTACTATATGCATATAGGGAAAATCTATGACCCCCTGGGGCAGGGCCAATTTTGACCCCAGGGCTTTTATTTGAACAAACTTGGTAGACACTCATTAGGAAGATGTTTCATGCTAAATATCTTAGCTCTAGCTCTTTCGGTTCTTTAAAAGAAGATTTTTTAAGTTTTTACTATATGCATATAGGGAAAATCAATGACCCCCTGGGGCGGGGCCAATTTTGACCCCAGGGCTTTTATTTGAACAAACTTGGTAGACATTCACTAGAAGATGTTTCATGCCAAATATCTAAGCTCTAGCTCTTACAGTTCTTTAAAAGAAGATTTTTTAAGTTTTTACTATATGCATATAGGGAAAATCAATGACCCCCCTGGGCGGGGCCAATTTTGACCCCAGGGCTTTTATTTGAACACACTTGGTAGACACTCTTTAGAAGATGTTTCATGCCAAATATCTAAGCTCTAGCTCTTATAGTTCTTTAAAAGAAGATATTAAAATATTTTTCTTTCGGTTGCCATGGCAACCAGAGTTCTGCATGGAATTAAATTCTTTGAACAATTTTTAAAGGTGACCACCAAAGGAACATTCCTGTGAAGTTTGGATGAAATTGGCTCAGTGGTTTATGAGGAGATGTCATTTAAAGCAAAAGTTTACGGACGGACGACGGACGGACGCCGGACGGACGCCGGACGAAAAGCAATCACAAAAGCTCAGCCTGTCTTTTGTGACAGGTGAGCTAAAAAGAGGGCCCTAGATCATTCACCTGACCCATTGAACCCATAAAAACAGTAGCCACTAAAGTGTTAACAAGATTTTTTTATTTTTAGCTCCTGTGACCTAGTTTTTCATCCAAAATGACCTATGTTTGAAATCATCTGAGCAATAACTTAGGCAAGCATCCTGACAAATTTTGATGATGAATGAGGCAAAAATGTGACCACTAGAGTGTTATACGAACAAATGTGGACGGATGACGGACATTCAACTATCCTAAAAGTTCACCCCGAGATAGATCAGGTGAGCTAAAAAAGTAACTCAGAATTATTAGACCTGTGCCGATCATGTTTAATAATCACAAAGAACAAGTGGTCTGGAGTTTGAACCTGCTCCCTTCAGTAGTTTAAATCATAAGAACTTGCACACAAAAGTTTAAGACTTTACCAAAGTGACGGCTTTTTTTTTTTTTTTTTAATGTGTTTATTTAAGGTCGCCGCCGGAAAGCCCATATGGGCGACCGTACACTCAAGTCGGGCCATTGTAGAGCGTCCCGCCGAGATTTTTTCATCAATTTTTTTCCAGCTTTATTTTTAAAGTGACGGCAAAATGGCACCATGAATACAATAGCTCTCCCTATTTTTCAAAAACCGGAAGTCAAGCTAAAAATTATCTCAGGACATGTTTTTAACAATAATCATACTTCATTTTCTTTATATTGCCAGTTTTTATTTTTAATTATGTCCCTAACCCTTAATTCATTGTAACAGGAAGTGACTAGCCATTGCAACAGTCTGGATCCTGGCCAATCTGGACATCCATGAATTATTTCCAGACTCTGTCCTGTTGGTAGCTAATTTTTTTTTTTTTTTTTCATAGCTAAATTAAATTTTGGTATACTGATACTGAAATCCATCAACCTTTAAAAAGACAGTTCTTAAAGGCCCATTATTTCACAAAAATACTTTTATTCTCATTTCTCAAAAGCTTTTTAACTTTGTTGTACTTTTATAGGATCCAAAAAAGATACTCAATGGCCATTTACCATTTCACAAATTCGGGGGTTTAAAAGTTAACATATGTTAAATAATTTTTTTATATGAGCCGCGTCACAACAAAACCAACATAATGCGTTTGCGACCAGCATGGATCCAGACCAGCCTGCGCATTCGCGCAGTCTGATCAGGATCCATGCTGTTCGCTATCAGTTTCTCTATTTGTAATAGAGTTGGTAAGCGAACAGCATGGATCCTGATCAGACTGCACGTATGCGCAGGCTGATCTGGATCCATGCTGGTTGCAAACGCACTATGTTGGTTTTGTTGTGACGCGGCTCATATTTTGACATAACTGAATCTGAAGAAAAGGCTCAAACCTGCTGATCATATTGGTCCTCGTATGATTGTTCCGGTTCCTGTACTGGTTCCCGCTCTGGTTCTGGCTCCGGTTCCTGTTTCATAAAAAAGATCAACGATTTTTAATAATTTATGTGTCAATTAAAAAAGAGAAATATTCTGTTTGTAAACAGAGAGATCCTTTCTATTCTAGTCTGTCAAATAACAGTAATGATCTTTTTCATCACTGGCTTACATTTTTTTTATTGTACATGTACATGAGCTCTATGGGATTTTATACCATTTACATCGATGCTAGCAAAACTTATCTTACACCCCCAGTGTAGGACAAGTCAGTGCTGTAGATGACACTTTTCCTGTGCCCCTTCTATGAATGAATTGCATGCTTAAGCATCACTTATTTCCGCTGCTATGTATGAAGCTGTAAAATTATATGCTACAAAGTACTTAATGAAAAATATCAGTTTTCATACTTGCTTTTCGAAATATGACTTTTATGTAAAATGCAAGAAAAAGAATGCATACTAGCTATTATCACAGATGGGAATATTTAACACTCAGTAAACTAATAAGCGAAAACTTGACTAAGCCTCATTACCTCGTGAGAATATATCCAGAATGGGCTTGGTATGACCTAAGTGGCTGGTGGAGGGTTAATATATAAATCTCAGAGGGCTAGAAGATTCATAGTTCTTTAGTTTTCAAGATGGACCAGTCCAACTGATACTTATTAAACCTACTCTTAATTAAAATTGTGTTTGATTAAAAAAAAAAGAAGAAAAAAAGAGAACTGGATCATTTACCGTAGTTTGCTGATCTTCCACACGTGTATCCTCATACGTAGGCTGGTCCTCTTCCTCCTTCCATCTCTCTGCATCTAGTCGCTCCTACAATAGAAATTTTCATCTACAATAAAATTTGTGTTTTTTTTTTCTACATATATAAATATGATTCCTAAAGGAAATGTTGTTCTATTAAGACATCTATTTTTTTTCTTTGGTTGTCCTGTCAGGCAAGTACTGTTTTTAAATTGAAGGGTTAATACAATTTTGCAACTATGGCAGATCTGGTTTTAACTTGCGGGTAATTAAAATTTAATGAAGATCAGCAGAAATCTGGAGGTATGCTGATTTAAAGGTTTAATACAATTTTGCAACTATGGCAGATCAGATTTTAACTTTCAGGTCATCTGACAGAAAAATATTGCTGGCTCTTTACTTGTTCTCTGGCTTGCTGCTCCTTATGTTCCCTGTCCTCGCTTGCTTTTCTCCTCAACTTTGTAGCCTCGGCCTGTTTTCTTGCCTCGCTTTCTTGGTTAGCTGCCAAATTCTCAAATCTTGCCTTCAAATTCTTAGCACCTTCTGAACCTAGAAAGATTCCATTTCAATATTTTATTTATTTTTCTTAACCCTTGTTAAGTAAAAAAGCAAGAGCCACTTCGAGGCGGGGGCAACGCTCAACTTTTTTTACTTTGTCTAAAGCAAACAAATAATGGTTTAAACAAATGTGAAAGAAAAAAGATGCAGACATGCAACGGCAACTTTTCCTTCAAAAAAAGTCAAGCTAAAAACCTATATTTTAATGTACACATAAATAGTTCACCTTATGACAATACATGTGTACAATGTGATTCTCAAAAAAAAAAAAAAAAAAATTGATATTTTATTTTCATCCATTTTAAGAATGCCTTCCTATGAACCAAACTTCTTGCTGAAAAAAGTCTCTGCAAATTTTTTTGAAGCTGGCATGCAAATGAAAACCTATTCTCGTAAATGACACAAAACATCATATGAATTTAAGAGAACTGAAAGTAGAAATTCATGAATATTTTATCTTTGTCCTTTAAGTTATTAAAATATCTGAAAATACAGTACTTAGCAGCTATGACAAATTTATTTCTGAATTTCATCTTAGGCCAAACTCATCCTGACATACATTTGACAAGCAAGATTAGCTTTACTATTCACTACTTACAGTTCATAGAATAATAGATGCAAATATAGACATAGTAAAATACTTCAGTAGGGACACAATAAAGTGCAACCAATTATGGAAACAAAAAAAGGGACACAATCAAGTGCATAAAAGTAACATATATGAGCAGTCAACTCACAAGTATGGAAATAATGTACAGACATAAAAAAAATCACACTAGACACAGTTGAATAGGAAGATATTGACAAGTATGTGTGCACACAATTATGAAATTATGGACACAGTTAAGTCCACACAAGTATGAACAAAGGGAAATCCACACAAAATGAACAAGGGGAAATCCACACAAATTGGACATGGTAAAATTCACACAAGTATGAACGAGGGGAAATCCACATAAGTATTTAAACAATGAAATTCAATAAAGTATGAACAAGGGTAATTCAATAAAGTATGAACAAGAGGAAATCCAAACAAATAAGGACAAAGTGAAATTTACCCAAGTATGAACAGGGGGAAATCAACACAAAAATTGACACAGTGAAATTTACCCAGGTATGAACAAGGGGAAATCCACACAAGTATGGACATGGTGAAATCCATGTAAGTATTAACAAAAGGAAATCCACACAAATATAGACTGGGAAAATTCACACAAGTATGAACAAAGGGAAAATCCACACAAGTATGGACAGAAGAAGATCAGGATACTTACTGGAATCTGCTCTAGTCTTCTGATATGATGAAGAAACACCCTCCATATCAGCAAATGTTCCTGCTGACTAAAAAGAATAACAAAATGTTAAAATAAACAGTAACAAGACAAAACATTGGTAAAAATAACATGACTGCAAGCTCAAAATATTAGAAAACCTGAAGAACCCTGAATTTAGCATTGTTTTAATTGGTTTTATATAAAAAACGTGATTTCAGGAATATAAAAACCAGAACTTCAGGCAAATGCCAGAAATCTTGAATTCACGAAGTAATACAGAACTTTATTAATTTTAATTAGGTTTATATCTACTTTGTATTATCTAAAACTTGAACAGTAAAAATTTCCAAATGTATGCATTTTCCCCCTATTTTAGAGTATGATCTATGTCAATTACCCGATTTTTCCTTCTACATTGGCTCTGCTACTAATCCCATTAAGGCGGGGAAAAAAGCACTGAAAAATTACATTTCTGGAGGTAAATAAACAAAATATTTAGCTAATTTAATGACTTACATCATCTTTCCTATCAGACTGGACACCAAATTTACCACCAAATCCTTTGGAATAATCTGTAAATTAATCAGCACTGGATTAGAATATATCACAAGTATGATGGATCATAATAGAGTATAACAAATCTTTACAAGATATTGAAGATATTAAGGTGTGACCAGCCTAACTGGCACTATAGGGAACTGAAAAATTGACAACCTAGGTCAGATATATACCTTAAAGGACACCTGTATGCAAAATTCAAACAAACTTCCTCAAAAGTATATTGGTTGATCTTGTAAAATATTAAATACTTTTACCTACTAGTTCTGATTTTATTGCACTTTGAAAATATCAGGTACCATAATTATTTATTAAATTTAGCATTATCAATTCAATATAAACCTATATTAATTAAATAATTAAAATTAAACACTTTCTACTTCCCAAAAGGCATATGAGAGATACATAAATGATGTTAAAGAAAAAGAAAGAAAAAGTTGACCCTTCTGGGGTTTAAACCCACTGCCCTAAGTTTCAATGTAATTTAACAGTAGTTCTAGCCTATTTGAATACTCTTCAAAGTGTAGGTAATGCATTAGGATGGTCATACCTTAACTCACATGATAAAGACATTGATAAATTGGATTTGTTTGTTTTTCTTGCTTTTATGCTGATTTTTAAAACATTTTTGGTCATATCTCGGCAACAGACAAAAGGAAAGCGTTGGCCTTGTGGTTAAGGTATCTCCCTCTGAACTAAGGGATCACTGGTTCACAATAATGGTTCACTATTGGGTCACAAACATTTTTCTTTATATGACACCAGTACTGGCTGGATCCAGGAAGTGGACTCAAAAGTGATTAATATAAGTTGCAAGAACTTGTTTTGCAATGGAGCTTTAATAAATATGTTTAAACCAATAGACCCCACTGTTCTGGATAACTTACCGGTAATTACTAACTTCTCAGTAACTAAACAGCTACTAATCCCACATGATTTCTAAATAACTGGTAAATAACAAGTGACCAAAATACTCAATGTCCAAAGACAAATGTCATGGAGAATTTATGCCACAACAGAGGATCCAATCAGCAATCCTTAGATTACTAAATCAATGCCCTTCCTATTGAGTTAAGTGGGACAACATTTGATCATTGGATTAAGTACTCACACAAAATGAGTCAGGAAAGCAGGTACTCTGAACATGTTCTGATTTGCATGTAGCGCCACCTATAAACATGTCATAATGCCATAGATATTTCAGTCATAAATCGCTTACTTAAACTTTAATGGCCATGTGTACTTTAATGTAGAGATGCAACAATTAATAGCAGTAAAATAAATCAATGAAACATGGTCCTTTTTATTATTACAAAAGGTGTGAGTCAGTACCAAAGGGGGACAATCCTGATACAAACCTTTTTGTGATTCGTGTAACTGTAATTTTTCCTGGTGGTCGTACCCTACAGCTGACTGGTCTTTTCTGTCCGTCTGTACACCATACTTCCCTCCAAAACCCTTAGAATAATCTGAATTGTACAAAATGTTTAGATAAAATATTTCATCTTCTAAAAAATATAGATCACTACTATTATCATAATATAAATTTTACTACAGAACTATGCTTAGCAAAGTGAGTAATCAGAGATCGAAAATTCCACTTGTCTGCTGGTAATTACGAGTAATTATGAGTATAATTAAAGAGAATTCAATGCAGGACAATTTGAAAAATGGTGCCTGCACATTGGATTTACAGGCTACTTATCCTGCAGGACGAGTGACTCTGAAAATATTTTAAGATGCCTGGTAACTGTAGATTTTTCAAGCTTTAAGGTGATTTCTATAGGCATTTCATTAATGTTTAAAAGCCGATTCCCACAAAATCTGGCACAAAAAATTGTGCAATTATGTTTCTATATTCCCTTTTTATCATTACTTACAACAGACTTAAAGCAATTCTGATAAGAGAAAGTGGTAAATAGACACTCTGACTAGAGAATAACAGGGAATTATAACCTGTCAAAAAACTTTATAACTAACAATATAATAGCATGATATTACAAACACATATATTCAAAACTTGAAAGTAGGAAGTCACCTTTTTGGCTTTCATGTTTTTCAAGTTTTTCTTGGTGTTCATATCCTACTGCAGACTGATCTTTTCTGTCAGTTTGTACCCCATACTTTCCACCAAAACCCTTAGAATAATCTGCAAAAATTGAAGAAAAACACATACAGAGTAACAACCAAGATGGTGGTGTATACACATTTGTTTATAATATAATCCAAGCTTACAGTACTGGGGTATATGGTCAATCAAAAATCTTTATAACTTATAACATGAAAGTTCAGACAAAAAATGTTTCAAATCTTGCCAATGGCTTGATTTCAATTCATCACATTTCATGTCCTCATCTTTCTTTTTTAAAGTTTAAATAGTGTATCAACGTATGTCAGATTTTATACCATCTTTTCCATGGTGGTATTATAATTAATCACTTTCTAAACCTGCTTAATTTTTTTACATGGACTTAACCATTTTCTTCTTTTGAGACTGTTCATTATCAATTTCAGGGATATCACGATGAAAGTTTGAAATTGGTCAGTCATCAATATAGAGCCTGGTCAGACTGCACAGGTGTGCAAGACTGGCCTAGATCTATATTGGTTAGCAAACGTCAATCACTTCCTGGTCCACCAGGTTAAAATTAAGAAATAATATCGGTCTCAGCGGTGTTTATTGGCTATTTAACGCCAGTTTGGACGTTTGCAGTGTAAAAAATTGACCACAAAGGCTGTAGGTGTTATTGTTGTTGCCTAAAAATGCTTTCTAAGCTAAATTATCTAGGGAGAAAAAATAACAGCCGCATATACATGTAGTCCCTAACCAGTGTTCATTGGCAGTATGAACACCGTTTTTTTTTCTTCTTTGTGTATAGTGATAAAATCATGAGGAGTGTTGGAATAATCAGTATACATGTACTTTGACAGTATTGAATTTTTGTAGGCCCCTATAATTGTACAGGCGGGGCCTAGTTTTTTACTGGTGGCAAAGGCTAGTCACTTTGCGTTCCATTTAGGTTTAACAAACCTTTTTGTGATTCGTGCTGTTCTAATTTCTCCTGATGGTCCCAGCCCACGGCAGATTTATCTTTCCTATCAGTTTGTACACCAAACTTCCCGCCAAAACCCTTGGAATAGTCTGCAAAAAAATAACAAATTAGCAACTCTAGTAATGTATAAATTAGTGATTTTTTGAATTAGTGAATGTGTAAATAAATGAATGTGTAATAGGTGAATGTATAAATTAATAAATGTATAAATTAATAAATATATGAATTAATAAATGTATAAAATTCATGTATGTGTAAATAATTGAATGTCTAAATGAATGAATGTGTAAATAAATGAATGTGTAAATAAGAAAATGTGTAAATAAGAAAATGTATAAATTAATAAATGTATAAATTAATAAATGTATAAATTAATAAATGCATAAATTAGTGAAAGTGTAAATAACTGTATGTGTAAATTAGTGAATGCGTAAATTACAAAAATAAAACTCCATTCAGATTTAGATTCATATTTATTACATTGCCAATAACATAATATCAATTTTAAATCATAGTTTTTAGTTCAATAACCTAGCAATTTATGACTGACCTTACTTTCTGAAAACTACTTAACTGCTTTAAATAAAGAAATCTTAACTGCTACAAATATAATAGTATTTATCAATAAAGATAAAAGTCACTGGTGTACTTTTAGCAAACAATATTTTCTTCCTGTATGACAAATAAAATTACATTTATCCAATGTATGCAATCTGTTAATAAAATGTATTGTATAGTTTTATATAATCTGTAAACAATGGATACTCAACATCAACATTTTATGTCAAAGGAAATGTTAATCTTGAAATGTGTATTATTATTCAAGAATAGAAAATACATCATTATGATAATGCAGGTGGTTGAAGCAACGAATATTCATGGATTTATAACATGTGACTTTTACTAGGTTATAAATATTTGCGTAAAATATGTTTGATGCCAAATGCTTCTTTAAGTTTTTTCCTACAAATACAGGATTTATTTTCATCAAGTGGTATGAAAATAAATATTTTATGAGTAACGGTAGACACAAGTGAAATATGATAAAGATGAAAATAAATCCAGTATTTACAGAAAAAAACTTGAATTTTTTGTTTATTATATACATTTTTCTATTTTTTTACATTACAATTTCAAAGACTTCTGCTTAAATTTTGTGTATTGGCTGAATTTAGTAGAAAGCCCGTCAAGACATCACTGAAAATATGTTTCACTGCAGTGATAATTAAATTTTCACAATGAAAATATGGAAAATGAAAATACGCATTTTATTTCATAAATTTTTTTCAAAATTTAGTTTATAAGAAATAATAAACATATTTATGCATGAAATGGAAATGTATATTAAATTTGCTAGCAGATAAAATACCTTTCTGTGACTCATGTTGAGCCATTTTTTCCTGGTGGTCCCAGCCAACAGCTGACTTGTCCATACTCTCTTTCTGTACTCCATATTTACCTCCAAAACCCTTTGAATAATCTGTAAGTCATATATACAAATAATTTCAATATTATTTAGCCTTTACTTCACACAGAATTTAAGGGAAGGTTCAATATGAACATAACCCAAACTCTCAGTATCTGAAAGGGCGGATGGACTCTTATTAAGCATAGACAACCAACCAAGATAATGCAACATATTTTCTCTCTATTCTATATTTGTATGAATTTTTATTCCTATATGTAGGGGTTCAGTGGTATAGATATCAGAAAACATAAGACAATATGTTTATATAACACCAGCCTATCATTAAAAAACTCTGTAAACTGAAGTCCTCTATGACCCAGACTTGTCACCAAGTCTGGAAAGGGTCTTTATTGGAGAGTTTTCTTTGTTTGGTTTGGTTTAACTGTGCACCAACACAATTTAGGTCATATGGCGCCATAACAGGAAAGATGATTTCGGCTAACATCGGGTGTTACAAACATCAAGGTCAAAACCACCTCAATTTCTGGAGCTAAGAGATGCATAGACTCTAGTAATAGACATTATCTGGAACTCGGCAAGGTGGGTATTTCCCAGTTAATCTGTAGGTACAAACTAACTGTTACCGTTACAGCTTCACGGTGCACTTCCCTTCACAATAGATTAGTCAACTTGTTTTGCATAATTTTACTGTAAAAGTTTGTTTGTACCTATGTTATTAGCTGGGAAAAACCCCAAATATTCTTAAATCCGGAGTAAGTCTATTTGAAACCATTTAGTCGCCTCTTACGATCAAGCAGGGTAAAATGTTGGCTGCAATTCTGATGCCTCAATCCATAAAGGCAACCCCTCAGCCAAAAGGAGGTTCTAAATTGGAGGGATTTAACCCTTTCACTGCCATAAGGACGGCTTAAGCCGTCCCTGTTATTTTCGGCGTATTTGCCATATGGACGGCTTTAACCGTTTCTATAATAATAATAGTAATAATAATAAATTAATAATAATAATAATAATAATAAATATAAAGAAAATTATACCATCAACAATAATTATTATTATACTAACAGATTTAGAGACATATATAATTATTAGAATACTAATAACAAATAATAATAATTATATTAATTAATAATATAGTAATTTCTTAGAAAATCCTCTGGCAAATAGGTGAACAATAAAACAATAACCCTCTGGCAGCGAAAGGGTTAAAAATATAAAGAATGTATATATATTAAGAAACAATTACAATACATGTTATATCAGTCCTAACAATAGCAAACCTTTTTGTGATTCATGTTTTTCAAGTTTTTCTTGGTGGTCGTACCCTACAGCTGATTTGTCTTTTCTGTCTTTCTGTACACCATACTTTCCCCCAAAACCAGTTGAGTAATCTGAGATGTAAATCATTTTAATACTTACCACTGATAACATGGCAAAGGTAAGAAATAGTTGAACAAGAGCTGTCACAGGAGACAGCGAAGCTCGACTAATAAAATGCTGGACGCAGTAAGGAGGACAAAACTATGAAAGAAAAATCAATTATGTATAATTAAGTATTAAGTTATAGTAAAAATATAACATTTGTTAACATAAATTCCAAGAGCAAGGGGAATAATTCTAGAAATAGTCATGCAAGAGTTATGGACCTTGCCACACAACATTTGTGTAATGATAAGAAATATATATTTGAAGTTTGAAGTAGATATCTTAAAAAAATAAAGAAGTTATTATATTTCTTAAAGAAAATCCTAAGTTCAAAGGGAGATAAATCTGTAAATATTGCTTCAAGAGTTATGAACATTGTCACATAAAATGTAAATGATTATAAGGAATAAGTATTTGAAGTTTGAGGTAGATACCTTTAAAAATAAAAAAGTTAAAATAAAAAATAACATTTTTCTAGTGAATAAATCTAAGTTTATGGGGAGATAATTCTTGCGATATTGGTGCTAGAGTTATGAACCTTGTCACATAAGATGTGGATGATGATAACGTAAATATATTTGAAGTATGAAGTTGATCCCTTTAGAAATAAATAAGTTACAGTAAAAAATAATAATTTTGTATGAAAAATTCTAAGTTCAAAGGGAGATAAATCTAAAAATATTGGTGCTAGAGTTATGAACATTGTCACATAAGATGGGGATGATGATAATGTAAATATATTTGAAGTATGAGGTTGATCCTTAAGAAATAAAGAAGAAACAGTAAGAAATAGTATTTTTTGAGAAAATTCTAAGTTCAAGGGGAGATAAATCTGAAAATATTGGTGCTAGAGTTATGACCCTTGTCACATAAGATGGGATGATGATAATGTACATATATTTGAAGTATGAGGTTGATACCTTTAGAAATAAAGAAGTATCAGTAAAAAATAGTATCTTTTAAGAAAAATTCTAAGTTCAAGGGGAGATAAATCTGAAAATATTGGTGCTAGAGTTATGAACCTTGTCACATAAGATGTGGTTGATGATAAGGAACATATATTTGAAGTTTGAAGTTGATACCTTAAGAAATGACAAAGTTATAGTGAAAAATATTTTACTGCACCAAAACTTTAATCTAAAATCTGGACGCGGACGCAGACGCCGACGCCGGGGCGAGTAGGACAGCTCTCCATATACTTCGTATAGTCGAGCTAAAAATTATCATCACTGAAGCTTGTTATGACCATATGGCAATATTCCAACTTACTGGTTGGGAAAAACCCTTGAGTGCACTTTTTTCTCTCTTTTGGTTTGGGTTTTACTGGCAGAGGAAGACCTTCCGTGCATTATTTCATGCACAAATAGGCACCTGAGTAGAACCACAGATGTTACGTAAGCTAGCTGGATAGCTTTCGCACATGAAAGAATAGAAAGTCTCTGTCAAGATTTGAAACCGACAGCAGTGGGGTAAGTGGTTTGAAGTCAACCTCATTAACCACTCCACCATGGATGCCCCTAAGTGCATTATTTTAGTCAGAAGCAAGCACGTGCATACAGCCACCAAGCTACATCTAGCAGGATGGCTTCTTCACATGAGAAGAATTACATTCAAAGTTCTTGATGCATCATCCAGGACTGACAGTTCAAACAAGAACACATAGTTCATTATTACATGAACAAATAGTTGCTTATCATTATCAAGAATGCAAAGTTCATCTATCACACAACACATAGTTTTAACAAACATGCTTAGTTCATTATTTAACAAACATGCTTAGTTCATTATCACAAGAACACATATTTCAAACAAGGATATGGCTGTTCATTTGTCACAAGAGCAAACTGTACAAACAGAAACACATAATTCATTTCTCAAAAGAACACAAAATTCATGTATCACATGAACACATATTTCAAACAAGAACACAAAGTTCATTCATCACACAAAAAAAAACAACAACACACAGATAACTTCCACAAGAAGGCAAACTTCAAACAAGAGCACTTACTGACGTAGGTCAGACCATATATTCAAACAAGAGCACTTACTGACATAGGTCAGACCACATATTTCCTTATTCGCAAGAATGCAGCACACAGTTCTTAGATTGCACAGTTTCATACATACTCAAATCAACATTCTTAAAATAAATTTACACACTGCTTACCTTTCTGGGAGGCATGTTTATCTGTTTTTCCTTCATAATCAAATCCAACAGCTGCCTATAATAAAAAATAAAAATTACTTAAATTTATATATCAGAATCATATTGAATTCTTGGATTTTAAAGTTTCTTTTTTTTTTCCAATACATTTTTCAATGTTTAAATGTATGAATGAACCTCTTTAAGCAAAATTGGTGTTAATTACAATTTTGATTTGCCACCAAACTAAACTATGTCTTCAAAATCTATAAAAGTCGTTCAGCACTTAAAAGTTTAATTGATATATCCTTTATAATTGTGCATTCAATGATTAACATAATTTTATGGCCAACTCTTTGACAGGGATCACTTTTAATGTCACTTAAAGTAATTAGATAAATTGGTCCTATATACATTGCCCACAAGAAATATGCACATACCTTTAGTTCGAATTTAAGCCAAATAATTTCAGAGATTGGTCATGAACTTAACGGGTATTCTAAATATCATCACACATTAAAAAACTCTCCTGAATTTTTTTTAATTAACAGGAATTCAAATATTTTTATACTATATAATGTAGGTCAGTTTGTTTTGTTTAGTATTAACGATGCACCAACACAATTTCGATAGCATGGTGCCGAAACAAGAAAGATGATTTTGGCTACCCTTCAGTGTTAAAACTTAAACAATACCAGGGTTCAAAACCATCTGACCTGCTGGAGCTAAGAGATGCATAGACTGCCGTAATTCGAACCCATTTTGTCGTCCCTTATGATCATGCAGGGTTAAACAGTGGCTACAGTTCTGATTATTCATTACACAAACGTTTCTATCTCTATTACGTTTGTGTAATAGATAATTATTAACTAACTGTTTCCAGAATGAATTTGCAATTCCGATGCCTCAACTAGTTAAGGCAACTCCTCAGCCATATAAGACAAAAGGAGATCTGTATCAACAAATTTTCTATGATCATTAAATCACTGAGTGTCTCCAGTACAATTCTTTATATGGCAAAAAAAATTCATAATCAAAAGGAATCAAATACTATTTACTCAAAATAATCTGGCTTGGAATTGCACAGGAAAAAAACAAAAAAAAGCAAAAACTTTAATTCTGAGTGTTTTTCATATCATCATTTGAATATTTTCATATAACAATTTGTATTAACCCAATTAAACTTTGTAAGAAATAAATTTTTTCTTTTCATGTTTGTATTCCTTTCTTCTTTTCTTGAAATAAACAGGCCTTAAATGTGGTTCCAAAAATAATAAAAAATTGTTTATTACTTACTTTTTTCTTGAAATGAAAGGAAATTGTTTACATAGAAATATGGCAAGAGAATTACAACACACACACATATGTATATGACCAATACCTGGTTAAGTTAACCATAAATCATACACAATCCTTATAATGCTTACCTTATCTTTTCTATCAGCCTGAACTCCATATTTGCCACCAAATCCTTTAGCTGCATCAGTTTGACTAGCATGTTTAGCCAGGTCAGCTTGATAATCACTGCCTACAGCTGACTGGTTAGTAGTAAAAAGACATGGCATTCAACACACATAGATATACATCCAAAAAAAACATTGCATTCACACATGTAGTACAAGTATTAGTTGGTTTCTTTTTTCATTTTCTAAAATTAATATTAGTAATTTTTCTAGTAGTTTTTGTAACAGGTTATATGACTGAGCATAAATGGTTGTAAGCTTATATGATCTATGCTGCTAGGTAATGTAGGCCGCGAGGTGAGCATTATATATGATCTAGGCCGCTGGATGAGCATTTTATATGATTTAGGCCCCTGGGTGACCTAGACTGCAAGGAGAGCATTATACATGATGTAGGCCGCTGGGTAATCTAGGCCACGAGGTGAGCATTATACATGATGTAGGCTGCTGGGTAATCTAGGCCACGAGGAGAGCATTATACATGATGTAGGCTGCTGGGTAATCTAGGCCACGAGGAGAGCATTATACATGATGTAGGCTGCTGGGTAATCTAGGCCACAAGGTGAGCATTATATATAATCAAGGCCGCTGGGTAATCTAGGCCACGAGGTGAGCATTATATATAATCAAGGTCGCTGGGTAATTTAGGCCACGAGGTGAGCATTATATATGATCTAGGCCGCTGGGTGACCTAGACTGCAAGGAGAGCATTATATATAATCTAGGCCTCTGGGTGACCTAGGCCACGAGGTGAGCATTATATATGATCTAGGTCACTGGGTAATGAAGGCTGCAAGGTGAGCATTATATTTGATCTAAGCCCCTTGGTAATCTATGCCACGAGATGAGCTTTATATATGATCTAGGCTGCTAGGTAAACATTATATATAATTTATAAATACCTAGCCAAGTTTGGGTAATTTTGCGTCGTAAAATTGCTTAATTGGGAAAAAGGTTTGGTAACTTTTGAAACCTCCCTCATGCTCTTTTGCCATAGTGTTTTGAATTGTGCAAAACTTTTATACCAACCAATACAAATATCACTCAAAGCATAAAAAATACATTTGTTTAAAAATACATAAGTTTGACAATAAAATGTGTGGACACATCTGTCTGATACCATACTGGAATGAACGATAAATAACTCCATGGCATCAGGAAATATCTGTAAAAATCCATCAGAATTTACCTGTAACATTCAATTTATAAAAGAGCAGGGCAGTCAATCTATATTTCGGGTAGATTTATATTTAATCCTACACATTTTCCCATATCAACTGTTTGTTAAACACCTATATAGCAATTAATCTTTTGAAATATACATCATGTATAAGATAATTCAGCTCATCTTGACATTTAAAAACAATGAGCATAATGTCACTTTCATATATATTATATTATATATAAAAACATATACTTATTTTTCCTTTCTTTTGAGGTGGGGGGACCAATAACAGAACTCTTCTTATTTTGAGCCTAACACTAAAATATTATTTCATTCACATTAGAATATTCTCTACCTTAAGTGCATGCCAGGTAAATAATCATGTTAGTGGCGGCATGGCCAAGTGGTTAACGCGTCGGATTAGTAATCTAATGATCGCTAGGTGCATGGGTTCAAATTCCCTCAGGGGCAAGTCATTGTTTCCTTGAGCAAGAAATTTTACACTCATTGCTTAGTACTGGTTGGTTTCAGGATCAAATTCTACAGTGTGTCTATAAGCTTATAGCTTCTTACACAATCGAAATCATGCCTGCAGAACAAATTAGCATAAACCAGACTTCCTGAAATACGTCGGTCCGACGGACATGTCCGATAAATTTTGATCAGGTCCGACAATTTTTTATTCCGGATCGGTCCGACTGTCCGGCTTTTATCCAAGCCGCATGTATACAAAATGGCGTTGCTAAAGGTGCCAAATTTGGGAAAAAACGAAAATCTACGTCAGAAGAGTGCGCAGAACAGCAATAAAAGGATGAAAAGAATAGACCCGAGACAAATTTAAATGAAAAATGGAAGAAGAACCATGAATTATTGGTGTATGACAGGGAGGAAATGAAAATGCGCTGTATGGATTGTGCCGATTTTTACGGCGAAAAAATAAAAAAACAAAAAGTGTCTTAGAAATACAACCACAAGTTTTTCATTGATTTTGATCAATTTTATTTGGTCCGACAGATTTTGTTTCGGTCCGACAGATTTTCATGGTTTGTCAGACCGAATGTCTGACAGTTTTTTTCAACTTTCGGGAAGTCTGCATAAACTAATACTGCCATATACTGATCACTTTCAAAATTGACAACTATTATCTACTTTTGTTACCATCCATTCCTGATTAAAGGGACTCCACTGAGGTGTTTTGAAATTTCACAGGACTGGAGATATTTTTTCAGGACTATTGTTCCATTTCATAATTATCTTTTGCACACCTTTCTGTTTAAGGTGCCAAAATTGATATATGTTAAGAAATTAAAATTTCATGTATTTAGGCTATTGGACCTCAGTGGAGTTCCTTTAAGGAAATAAACTCATCTCACGAATACATGTATGATTAATTTACTGTTATTTTCACACAGCATCACAATGTATCATTAAACAACCACAAGATCATGGGTATTTTTGACAAAAAAAACCCAAACAACAAGAACAACAGGAGTTGTAAATAGGACAGCATGGTTCCACTATTCTCAGTAGTTGATACTTAATCAAGAGCCTTGGATAATGTTGGATAATGTAAGAAAATTTCATTCAAAACATTAAGTAACATATTTAATAGTCATGAATGTTGACCAAGGAATTCTGTAATTTAACAAAGGACCATATTACATTCAAAATTCATGCCAGGGTTATTGGCCTCAGATAATGACTTTCAATTATAATCCAGAAACCATGAATGAAGTTTAACTTCAAGTCAATACTATCAGAAGTTTTCTTAATGCAAAACTGAAACAATATTTTCTATGTCAAGTTCATAGAGGGCCAGATTTCAGTCAAAATGCATGCCAGAGTTATGGGTCTTGGATATTGACCTCCAATTATGATTCTACAGATAAGACTTTAGTTTAAAGTGAAGACCATCAGTAGTTTTGAAGTCTGATGTTGCACAAAAAAAGGTTAAACATAGTTTCCCCATCAGAGTTATGGATCTTGTTATTAAAGTACATTTATGGCCTTAAAGACATGTATTAAGTTTCAAGTGAATACCTTCAGTAGTTTTGAAGATTATGTTTCATTTATAATCATGTTATTATTCAGTCAAAATCCATGCCTTGTAAAGTGACCCCAAAGTATGGTCACAAAAACATGTATTAAATGGCCAGAAAAGTATAAAAATGGCCATAATTCTGACAAAATCAATGCTACTGTAATTGACCTTGACAGTGACCTATAATGATCTCAAATGTGTGTGAAGTTATACTTCTCCTAAATGCTAACTGATGTGGCATGCAACTCTTTAACCAAGAAAATTTACTTAACACACTAAGCGCCATAATTCTGACAAAATCCATGCTAAGGTTATGGGCCTTGACAATAAATTAAAATTGTCTCAAATAAGTGTGTGAAAGTAAAAAAAACACAAAGAGAACTTATGCAGCAAAATGCTAAGACAAAAAATGATCAAATGATATACAAAGGTCAACATTTACATACCTTGTCCATCCTGTCTTGCTGTACTCCAAACTTGCCACCATACCCATATGAAGCTTTTGGTCCACTTTCCAGTTCCTCTGTCTTCACCTTCTGATAATCTTGCTGGACATTTTGTCTCAACTGATCTAGCCTATATATTAATATACACATGTGTTAAACAAAATATTTGGTATTCTAACAAAATATTTAGTATGATCACCCATTTTGTATGATCACACATTAATGTTTAGTATGTTCACACATTTTGTATGAAAAAAGGAAAGTAATTACTTGAACATGTGATGATGGTTTGCAGAGAACAATATCTAAATGTTTTGTAAAGTATGAAATTAACTTAAGGTTAGTAATTAAAATACTCTCAAAAGACGTTATCCGAAACTAGGCAAATGTTGGTTTTTGATAAAACCCCGTAGGTACAAACAAAGTTTTACCATTATAGCTTCATGGTGCACTACCAGTCACAATAGATTAGTCAACCTGTTGCGCTTATTTTCTAAGCTGTAACTGTAAAAGTTTGTTTGTACCTACAGATTAGCTGGCAAAATACTTAATTCCAGAGTAAGACTATTGTGAAAATTTCCACTTCTAAATATTACTTAGATCAGTGAGAAGGGACTATATTTCACATCAAAGTGTCTGTGTTTGTAGGGCTATGCCAAACCACGAGTAAACGGTGATTTTCCATGTCAAATCAAAATTAAACATTATGCCAAAATCGTTTTTAATTTCAAATCTGTTCCACATAATCAATATCTTTTGCAATTTATTGGTAGCATTTACTTGCTAAAAGCAATGAAGTAGTCTTGTTATATTTAAGCAGTTTTAAGAATTAATACTTAACATTTGTAATTATCAATTAATGATCAATCATCATCATAATAGAAGAAAGTTTATAAAAAGGCCTGTATCTTTCTATTCATTCTTTTTTAGTTTGTTTTTATTTGGTTGTAATTATATTACAAACATATGTTTGAATGAAATAAAGTACTGGTATAACTAAAATATTCAAATCTTTTGATATACATTGTATAGAGCAATCGCAGCTAATTTTAGCAACAAAAAATTGAGTATATTATCACTTAAAGTTACAACCATACAGATTCATTGTGTGATAATGTTTTTTGTTGTTGTTTTTGTCCAAGTTGAGTAATAATGAAATATGTCCCTGGTGAAGGAAGACCCCATAGATTTATCCGTGCATTAAAGAAGGCACGTGCAGACTTGTAAGTCAAAATACAATAATTATTGTGAATTACAGTACATCTAAAAATATCAACTTACTTTATTGAAGCCTGGTGACCTGATCCTTCAACTGTTTTTGCTCCCCATCTTTGCTCTTGTTCACTTACGTCATTCTAATTCATAAATGATAAAAACTATATGTGAGTCAATCATATATAAAATAACAGGGTTCTTTTACAGCACTTTAGGAACATGAGCTCTACCCAAGATTTGTGATTTTTTTTTATTTAGACCAATTGGGAAAAACTGACATTAATTAACATATTGAATACATTAAACAAGGCACAGAAATGATTATTATGGCATTGTGCAGTTAAATTTAACAAAATGACAATAATTTTACTCATTTTATTTTTGGTTTTGGTTCCTTGAATTGGGAATTTTCTTCATGAAAATGAGAAAAGATTTTAACTAACTTGTCCATTTTTATATGAAGCATTTTTTAACTTGTCAATTGATATTTGCATGCTGGTAGTTAATTCTTGAAAATTTTCAGTTGTCTGAACAGGCTGTGGGGCAAACTGTCCAATACGGATAATTGATTCATTATGCCCGCCCTAGAGCAAAGCCTAGCCTTCACTTTCATGCAGTCTGACTAAACTCTACACTGTAAGAAGCTCAATATTTGCACTTTAATATTATCATCCCTCAGACTTTGCATGGACTGTTCCAGATGCAAAGAAGGGCGTACTCATTTATCAACTTCAGCAGATTAAGGTTGTTTTTTTTATGGATTTTTTATGCATGTTTTATCTCACATTTTTTTTTAATCTCACCTCGAAATCAGCCTCAGTTTCCCAATCATCATCATCAACATCTTGTGATGGCGATGTTACCTTCACTCCAGCTTGTGCCTTCCACATGATCACCTTAAATGAAATATATATCATTATCTATAAATACAATCATTTTTTTCTATTTCTAATAGATCTATCCTATATCTTCTCATAATTAAATATAAATGGCCAAACATTCTACCATAAAATTATTTAGAAAAATAATATATATGTACAATCTTTGTGAAAATGCAATAAGACAAGCAAGTTTTTAAAGGGACTCTACTGAGGTTTTTTGACATGATGGGACTTGAAATAAATTTTCGAAATTAATGTTCCATTTCATGTAGGTCAAAAAAATAACTTGTGTGCAAATCACTCAGTCAGATAACTCGCTCCAACCATTTTATCATAATAAGTATGAAGTGGCTAGCCATATGGGCCCGTACAACTAGCCAAAAGTTCTAGCCGTACGTGAGTCATGTACGTCTAGCCAGGACACACTGTATTGGCTGGCCATACGGCACTATTCAAAATTATATGGAAGTCGAAAATGCATATTTTACTTTATGATTTTAAGTGAGGATTTTAACCAAGAAACAGCAATTGTATTTTAAAGATTAATCGCCATGCTGGCTACAGTAAAGACAGTATAAATATTGATCTTTGTCATTTCCAAATGGCGAGAAAAAAGAGCGATTGGTTGCAGCTGAATAACATCAATTGGAATAGTTTACAAAATTGTGAGAATAATCCTGTTTTGTTTCAATAAGTTTAATTAGGTGTTATTCTACAGATAGTTGTCTTATTCACTTACAAGATGTTATAAGAATTAATACTAGTAAAGGGCTATACACAGGTATGGTGATGCTTGACTTGCAAAAGGCGTTTGACACTGTAGACCATGATATTCTTAGTGGAAAGTTAGAATTAATGGGTGTTCAGTCTATTTCCTGGTTTCAGATCATATCTTTCAGAACGTTCACAATTGTTAATATAGGAAATACTTACTCTAAATCAAACAGTGTGACATGTGGCGTCCCCAAGGTAGTATTCTAGGGCCGTTGCTTTTTTCTGTGCTACGTAAATGATATGATTTTAAGTATTGATAATGATTGCAAGTTAATACTCTATGCAGATGACAGCACTATTTTATTCTCACATAAAGACCCGAATTTCATCTCAGAAAAACTTGGGACAGCCCTAGAAAGCTGTTCAGAATGGCTCGTAGACAATAAGCTGTCACTCCACCTTGGTAAAACAGAATGTATGCTATTTGGCCCCAAAAGAAAATTACACAAAGCAAGAACAATTTTACTGTTACATGTAATGGTCATAGCATAAAGGTACTAATTTAGTCAAGTATCTTGGTCTTTATATCAATAGTGATTTATCTGGGGAAACTATTGTTAATAACGTTATTTCTAAAGTGAATGCCAAGCTCAAGTTTTTATACAGGCAGAGCAGACTTTTAGATACTAAAACAAAACAGCTTTTATGTTCAGCCCTGATTCAGTGTCATTTTGACTACTCTTGTTCCTCTTGGTATGAAGGTTTATCAAAACATTTAAAAAGAAAGTTACAAATTACTCAGAATAAGGTATTAAGATTTGTCCAAAACTTACCGCCCAGAACTTCTGTAACAGTGTATGAGTTTGAAAAATTAAATTGGTTAAATGTAGAAAACAGAGTCAAACAGTTAAGACTAAATCATATGTATAAGATTTTTACAAAAAAGAGTCCATCATACCTTAGAGCCGACTTTAGATGTTGTGCTGATGCAAGATTTTACAATACTAGATCAAGCAATTTTAATTTTATTGTCCCCCAGTGTAATTCTGTGATGAAACAGACCTTTTATTATAATGGAATTAAAGACTGGAATGATCTGCCAGAATATATAAAATCCATTAATAATTTTGTGCAATACAAAAAATCTGTTAAAAAGTACCTACTAGAAAGCTATAAAAGTCTTTCAGAAGATATATATGTGTACAACTAATGTGTTAGGCACTGTGATCAAATATTTCTGTGATAGTAATACTAGGCTTATTTTAAAAAGGGCATACTTTTATAAATATATTTCCTTTTTCAACCTAAATTTTGACCAAAGTTAGTTAGTTTATATTTTTATATTTTTTATCTTGTTTGTTTTTTTAGGGGGGGAAGGGGTTAAAATTATGTTAGTTTTTTTTATTTCTATGGACCCCATTGGAAATAAGCATTTAGCTTAATGGGCTATCCATAGGTGCATAGTACCTCTTATTTTTTATGACAAAAGTGTGCTCTTTTATGCTGTTTTATGATCTCATTTTATATATATGATTTATTTATGTTATCTCTTAACTGTATGATTTTATATTATGTATCTTGTGCTATGTTCCTAAAATGTATAAATAAAATAAATAAATAAAAATTTTCAACACCTTTAAAAATGAAAAAAAAAACACCGAAAATAATTGTTGTTGGGCTCTGATAATTGCATCAAATTACTGACAGTAGAAATTTATCCACCATTAAGGAAAGTTTGCATGTTCCGTGAAACACATTCTAAAATTCTATTGTCAGTCCCTGGATATATAGGCTTTACATGTAATTAAGGCTAATTGATTGTGCTTTTATGTTTAATATTTATCTATTGTAATTAAAAATCATACAATTGTTTTTGCTTTTCACCATTTTTTTTCAATGTTCTTTTTATTTATTCCACTCTGATCATGCAGTTATGAAAAAGCTTCTTTGCCATTATGATTACTTATTCGATCCATGTGCTTAATTTACAAATGATTTAATAATTCATCTTTCATATAAATAAAACAAAAAATCTTAAGCATGAAAAATAACGACGTTATAACTTATAACATGCAACTTTTATCAAGATTACAACGCTTGCATTACCTTTGTATTCATTTTTTTTTACAAAATGGCAGAGCATCTTTATTAAAGTGAACACATGAGCAGGGCTCACACTGGTTAATACAAAATAATAGACAATATGTTTAATTAAAAAAAAATAATAGCCAAAAGTTTAGCGGACTATTCACCATTTAGCGATTTACAACATGCAGTTGATTAAATATACATTACATTTAAAAAAAAATCACTTTTATAAGGATTCTCAAATAAACTGATACATTTGTGTATATGTTAAACTACTTTCTTCTTACATAGAACCACAGTGAGTGAACTTTAATTAAAGCGATATAAGACTTTCCAGGTGGAATGCTTAACACACATAATGATGCATATGCCACTTTTATTAGACAATTTCTTTTGTTTGTTGTAATAAAATTTTGCCAGCTTTACAGTAACTACATCTCACACAGAACTGGATTAGGTCATATTAGCCTATAGAAATTACACTTGCAAACACATTCACAGAAAGCTGCCTTTTTTCTGAATAACTTACTGAAAAATGTCATCAACATCAATGTAATACAAATTTTCTGCCGTAATAGTAAAGTTTTTTTAAACAGAACACAGCTTATTTTCGCTGTTTAATAATAATAATAAAAGTATTGGTGTTGCGAAAATATGTGACAATTGAATTTTTTCTGTTTTCAGCAAAATATTCACAAGTTGTTGCCAATTTTTTCTGTTTTCTGCAAAATATTCACAAGTTGTTGTGCATATAATTTTTTGGAAGTAAATACTTTTTAAATAGTTTACCATTCATTGTGTTTTCCACTGACGATTAAGTCAAGCAGCATGAAACAAAAAAAAATCATAATTTGCAATCCCGACAATTTAGGGCAAATTTTGGGTTGGTAAATAACCAATTTATCAAGTTTAAGACATTGTCTGTGGCTAATTGGTGGATATTTGATGGCTATCATAATGTTGGACAATATCTTTAAAGTACTTATACAAATTTACATCTAACATGTATTTAATCACCTCGGGCAATAGTAATCAACACGAGACTGATAAAAAGTTGACACTTGATTAAATCCACCCCACTGGTGTTAATTGTGTCTCACCTTACTGCATTCTTTAACAATTTTTACACTTCATACAATGTTGGAAGTAAAAGATAATCAGTATTAATCACCAATTTTTGTAGCCAAAATGCAAAAGTAATCACCAATCTTATAAAATTATCACAAATGGCATCCATGGCCACCTACAGCGTGAGCCCTGCATGAGGACAAATGCGGGGACTTGGTTAGAATCCTCATTTAAAGACACAAAATAACATATGCATTTTCGACTTTCATATAATTTTGAAAAGTGCCATACGGCTAGACAATACAGTGTGTCCTGGCTAGTCGTATGTGACTCACATACGGCTAGAACTTTTGGCTAGCCTTTCGGGACTGTACAGCTAGCCACTTCCAATAAGTATTCTAATTGTAAAAAAATACCCAAAAATGAAGAGTTGAAACGCTTTTCACCAAATCAGCTAAGAATAGTAAAAAAATATAATTTGCAATTCATTTCTGAGTAGATTTCTTATTGTCTATTGCATATCGTTTAATACTTTAAACGCTGCTGTATGTAAGAAATTTGATTTTATGCTTTTAGGCTTTTTGACCTCAGTGCAGTTCCTTTTAAATAAGTATTTCATCATTGCATTTATTTATTCAAAAAAAAAAATGCAGTACAGCTAGCCTCTGGTCTTTGTCTTTGTGGTAATTGTTAAATTTTTTTACAAACTGTATCAACTGTTTTTAAAATGTCTCACTGTTCCTATTTGTCCACACTTACAAAGGAACAGGTCTGTAGTTTCTTCCGTGATATCCGAGTACTGGTATACATAGAAGCACGAAAACAATCTGAGACACTTTTACGATTCATTACAATATGTCAGGTAGATTTACTTTGATAAATAAACTAGATATTTCTTAAAGTTATAATTTTAGTAATACGATAAAAGACCTACCTAAAACAATCTTATTGGAAAAATTATCTAAAAACTTCCTCAATCTCCTACTCACTTCCTACTTCCGGTTTGAGGATAGGTTAAAGTCCGTGAGCCGTATTCAACCCGTACCGTTCAGGAAAAAAAACCGTACCACACCGGGTAAATCAGTATAATTTTATGCACTACATACATGTATTTATTTTATTTTTATGTGGTACCTCATTAATGTCGATACAAGGAAATTACACCAAATTAAACGAAAGAGACATCAGAGCCCCCATTATATACGTACTTGATGAAGCAAAGAAAGACAAAACAATAAGAAAGAAAATCAATCAAAATATAAATATATTTCTGTATCAGTACAAAGAATACCCTCAAATGTCGAACATTTTCGCATGTTATTATGCTTTATAATGAAAGTAAATCAGAAATTATCAAAAGAAATCCTTATGCCGCGAAGAAACAAATTGTAACAGTATGAAAGCGTCGTAGGCTAAACAAGATAGTAACAATGTACTTCAAGCCCAAAGATGAGACAGCTTTTGAAATTAAATTGTTAGAGTTATGAAACATTTCGTGCATGATGTCATGATGCATGACGACGATGACATTACCTTAAATCTCAACTAAATTCATACTCACACCTGATAAACAACACAGCTACCTCTTCATGATATATGTAGGGTCATTAACCATTGTCATTCCATTATAAGCCATTGTTGAAGACATGAATGAATTTGTGAGTTCTTAGTTTCTCTGTATCACAGTAATGTATTCAAAAGATCAAATTTTCTTAGGATGACATATATAAATTATCATTCAAATATTCTCAATTTTAAGTAAACTTTTTCGAAAAGTTTCAAGATATTTTAAAGTGATCTCAGGAAACAGTTTAAGGGTCGGCCGGACAGTCTGAGAGCAAATTTTCCCTTTTCCTTTTCCCTTCTATAAGCGTGTTTCGACGGCTCCCCCCCCCCCTTTTGAGGCCTCAAACAGTGAAAAATGCCCTATTTAGGCCCTAAACACTGTTTTCCGTTTGAGAAATGTTGTTAAAAAAAGTGACCACTTTTTCGGCGCCGTCCCCCATCCAAATATATCATCAGGGGGTTGCCAGAAGGGGGGTGTGCCCCCTTCTGTTTGGGGGGTTTGAAGGGACGGAGTCCCACTCATCGCCAAGATAATCTTGGACATGTGACAGGCTAAAAATGGCCTCAGGTCGATCTTAGGGTAACTAGTAACCGACGCTGAAAAGCCTTTTACTCTATCTCAATTCATTGAGAAGTTGTCGCACTTTGAAATCAGTTTTGATGGAAAAAAACAATGCAAAATAGTGATTTTTGGCAATTTTGAGACGTCCCCCCGTTGCCATGGTAACAGGAAATTTACCATTGAGCATGCTGTTACAGAGGCTATGGTGTAGTCAACATTTGCGCCAAGTTTCATTAGTATTGAAGCATTTTTCATAGTTTCATAGCAGTTTGAACTTGTTACAGGAGGTTTTCAATGAAAACGGCCATTTTTTGCAATATGTTCATGGGGTAAAAGGTTAATTAAAAAAAAATAAAAAATGTCAAAAAACAACGATTTTTCACCAAATTCCGGTGTTAGGGCATGTGTTAACATGGGAAATCTAGTTTTTGTGTAATTCCAAGGGTTTTCATCATTTTTTGTTAAGCAGAGTAAAACATTTTTCAAAGAAAATTCTGAAACTAAAGCGGAGATAACTCTTGAAATAAACATCCTAGACTAAAGTTACCCCGTGCTTCACTTCTGTGTTGTTATATTTGGGGTCCATAATACGCTGCTTTTCATTGAATGGCACAATAGTGTCACATTGAAGTTTCCATGATAACCACCGCATGAACGCATCTGCGGATGTTTCAAAATTCAAATTTTCCCCATTGCCGTGTTTAAATGTTCAATTCTGCTTCAGCCGGTGCTAAGGGGCGTGGACGGTAAATTGCTTTTTTCCAGTACCGTACAGGCTCAATCAAACCGAGTCTGCAACTTTTTCAAAGTAAAAAAAAAGACCGTGTTGTTTGTGCCGTAAAGAGGCTGTAAAAAGTCAACCCATACATTCAGTCAGAGATCGTTGAAGATCGTTCAGCACGACATTATTGTTGTGTTTGTTACACTTTTAGTTTTTACTTTTCGTGTTTTTTTTTTCTAGTTGGGTGGTTTGAGTTCCGCTCAATTTAAAGCCGGTGCTAGAGGGCGTAAGGATTTCGCTCTTTTTCATTATCTCTCATGAACAGACTCAATCACTTTTTTCCAGAAATTTATTTATACATCACAACAGCAGGTGTCAACTGCAGCCGTAAAACGTTGTCCCGTACATCACTTCAGTGTTGTTATATTTTTCTGGTCCTTCGGGATCATTTAGTTCAGCATTTCTAATTAAATGTTGATGCTAGGGGAGTTGGGATGTTGCACTTTTTTATTGACTCAAACAAACCGAGTTTGCAATTTTCATGTAATTTTGCTGTTTTAATGCTTCCGAGGGGTGACTTTTTTTTCCAGATGATTTACCTAACATAAATTAGAGATAATTCGTGTCTTTAGAGCACTTTTGTTTTCATTTCCAATCTACCACATTAACTCGACTATATTTTATCAGCTGATCATTCAATCTAGTTCAAGTACCACTGATTATTTTCTATTTTTATACAATGATTCAATGCATTTACAAGTATAAAAAAATAGCAAATTTGTGTCACTATATCTATTGATTTCGACAATGTCATGTGGTTATCATGTGATATATCTATTTACCGACATAAATATCCACATATGCAAAGAAAAAAGTGAGGCTATCGGATAGATACAGTGATAGAGGTTTGTGTGTATAGTTTAAGAGATAGGCCTCAAATTTTGTTAAAAGAATAAGTCTCAGTTTAAGTAAAATGTCTATAGATTTTGGAAATCCATTTCTTAAAAAAAACAACCTCTTTTACAATCACAGGAAATCCAAGATGGTTCCACATTTTAAGAAATCACTCTGTATTTAAAGATGTTTTCTGAGTGAATAGTTTATATTTCATATTGTTTTATTGCTGCAAATAATAGTTGTATATCACTTTACAGGAGCTAAATATTTCTAAACATTTTATGTTTTAAGGAAAAATAAGACCGACAAAAATATGCTAAAATCAAAAAACGTTTTTGTTTTTAAAACCAATTTTAAATCTCACAGAAATTGTTTTTTTATGTGAAGTATCTGGAAACAAAGTGATCCCTCAGAAGCATTAATCACAACAAAATTACATGAAAATTGCAGTCTGTGCACGAGGGATAATGAATAAGTGCAACATCCCTCACGCCCCCTAGCACCGGCTTGAGCGGTATTCAATTTTCAACATTTAATAGTGCCGGCATCAATAATCCCGAAGGACCACATATAACAACACTGATATTTATCATGATGCGTAGTATTGTATAGAATAAGTTGATTAATATTTGCAATAAGAATAAACTTTTTGCCATGGAATTTGGTGGGGTAGGTATTATGACTGAGTTTGAAAAATAAAGATTTACATGAAAACAAAATTATTTGCATTGTTTACATTATTTTACTTTTCTGCCAAATATATACATTAAAGTTTGATTAATGTATGTTTTATGAAAATAATATTTATGCTGAATGTGTTTTTTTCTAAAATGAAACACAACACAAATTAGGCTAAACATATGATTCTTTTACAATTACGGTGAAATCTAAATGCTCCAACCTGACCCACATGGGCCAAGCTGAGAAACTACCATTTTATTCTTTATAAGGAGAAAGTGTTGTTCCTGTCACTGCTAAGTGTATTCATTTTGAGGACAATTATAGAATATTGAAAGAAAAATTCTGATCAGGTACATGAAAAAAATGCCTGTGTCTCCCTTTAATCAATGTGAAACAAATGACTCATAAACTTAAATTGTGACTAAAATTTTAGTCGCAATTTTTACTGCTGATTTATGTTTAAGCAATTTGAAGCTGACGCACATACTGTATCGGCAATCTACAGACCCGTGGTTCGAGTCCAGGCTGCGGCGTGCCGATTTTTTTTTTCATGTGATTTTTCTGTATGTATACGAGTATATGAATATAAAGTGAAGGAAATTAAAAAAAAACAAGATTGCATTCGTGAAAAATGCTATGCCACCCCATTAAGTACTGCACATTCTTCTAACGTATCTGTTACTACCAGATAACAATTCATTCTGGTAACTGATTGCCTTCAAAACAATAAAACGTGTAGCAATAGTCGTTCGAATTCTATTTATGGTCAAGAGGCGAATACAAAGATCTGGGGAAATGGTAATTCATCGGAAGCATTCATAAAAACAAAATTACATGAAAATTGCCAGGATTTTGATATTTGGCCCTCTTCCAGACAGGCGCTACATAGTTTTGTCCCTTGTTTTTTTCTTTCAGCTTTCAGGGTGGCATGCACTTTGGATTCAAGATTTCAACTTTTGACAACGGAACAAAACTAGAATTTGAATAATAAATAGTAATTAAAAAATACTTGAATGAGCAATCTTAAATCATGAATTCTTGAAATGGCGGGCTACCACTTGGGAAACAGATTTTGATATTCTAGGAAATGTCATTTAAATCGTATTTTAGCATAAAACAAAAAGAAAATTAGTTTGTTTGTTGTGTAAGATATAGAGGATATTTGTTTTTTGTTTGTGTTTTTTAATGAAATTTTATTGCACCGAGTGAGCTTTAAAAACAGTATTCAAGAAATATGAATTCAAAATCATGAAATATAACTTGTCATGAAATCTTTGTACTCTGGAGAGGATTTTACTCTTTTCATGTGTTTCTCAAACGGGTCTGCAGCTAAGGTCTTCATGCAGGGATCACACACCGCTTTTCATGGAATGGCACGGAATTAAGTGTCATATATTGAAGGCAGGACATTACTTTTAACATTTGAAAGATCAAACTATAAATAGTCAAATCACGCAAAAACAATGTAAAAACATTAACATTGTAAGCTGTAAGAAATAAACAAAATTGCATCAATTTGGATATTTACGAAATACTAGGGTGCCGCCATTTTGAATTTTTATCGTATTGAAAACAGGTGCGCGTGACGTAATTACCCCACTTCCGATTTCCCTTTCACGTACAAAAAATAGAAGCGGTAATTTTATATCGTACAAGAAAAAAATGGCGAAAAATAATGTTGGTCTTCTTCCGTACAATTTTGAGCCAGAATATGATTCTTCAGAGCTTCTTAAAATCTGGGACATAAATTATCTTATGTCCCAGATAAAATCCAAAATCAAATTAGTGCTCGCCATTTTTTTAAGCCAATCACCGACGAGGATTTTTCAAATTTTCAGGTTTCAAATCTTAATAGAACAGATTTTATATAAACTGGACGTTTTATATTATAAAACGCAAGTGGTCGGAGCACTAAGCCGGTTAGATTGCATATTAGATGTTAATTCTTCGTAAATAAGAAAGCTACAGTCGCTTCGCAAGCTCCGCTCCTTTTTAGCTTTCTTATTTAAGAAGAACACCCAATATGCACTCTAACCTATACTTAATGAGCAAACATTGCAACGAAATGAATTGTTTTAAAGAGTTTTTAATCATTGCGAGAAAAACGCTTGCAAAGTCACGCGAGTTTTTATGTCTTAGTTCTCCTAAAGCTGGAAGTGTGGAAATAAATTGAAAAAAAGATCAATTTTTTTTTTTGGACAGGCCTTCTCAGTTTCCACACGATACAGTAAACATGTACTGTTTTCCCCAAAATCTATATTTAGAATAAATGAACTGTGTAAACTCAGGAGTCAGGTCAGCGAGTAAACACATGTAGATTTACGTCAGTTCTATGTTACTGCATTTTTGGAGGTTCACATCTGCGGATATTTCTAAATTCAAAATTTCACCATTTCATGTTTAATTTTGAATTCTGCTTAAGCCGGTGTTAGGGGGCGTGGACGGTAGTTTGCACTTGACAGTACCGTCCATGAACAGGCTCAATCAAACCAAGTCTGCAACATTTTCAATTGTGTTGTGTTGGACTCTCTTTAGGGATTCTTATTTTCTCTATTTTAAATAAAAGTTAAGGTAAGTGCATCTTTTATTATTTATGCTTGATCTATTAATTTTTGTTCATTATTTTTTCCCTGATATGTTGAATAATCATCGTATTTTTTTTTACCTGTAACAATTAAATAAATGGGACAATGACACTTGAACTGGTTTATAAATCAGAAAACATGGCACGCATCTAGGTCAGGTCATGACAGACAATTTTTTCCTACATTGTTTATTGCACTCGATAAATGTATTTGTCATGGTCTTTATAGAAATTTATTGTTAATTTTTAAAGACAATTGATTAGATTACAAAATAGATTAAAGGTACTCCACTGAGGTACGGCCGAATGTCACAAAAAAAAGTAAAATTTCACGAACCGATATTTTTTTGTTACCTGCGAGTTAGGGACATTCAAACAGAATCAGTGATACATTGATATGTGTTCTTTGGATTGGCAAGTCGTTTGAAATACATATTTTCTCCAATTTTGTGGGAAAAGCGTTTAAACACCTTTCAGTTTGCAAATCTGAATAAAAACAACGGTCACGTGATGATTCTCGGGATGACTAAAAAGCGAAACGGAGAATTTTTTGTGTATCGGCAGCAACGAAAGTGCGAAACCGGAATATACCAACAATCCATAAATTTAAAAGCAAATAATGGGTTTGTTTGTTAAATTTCTTGTTGTTCACATATGTTCTTGTGAGAAAAAAGCAATTTCAATATATTTAAAGCATTACATTGTTGTAATCATGTTTTTTTCTCCATTACAATGATGAATTTAGCTAAACGTACGGAGTTCGAAACTGACATACACAAATTTTACAAATATTCTATGTTAATTTGAGAGCTTTCGTGTAATTATTTAATATTATGTATTAACTTTGTAATGGTTAAAATATCATGATATCTAGGCTAAGAAAATTTACTTTGTCAATCAGTGTAATGGGTCCTATTTCAAAGGTCACTTTGGTTTATCTGACACCCGTTCAGGAAAAAAACTTCGTAATACCTTTTATACAACGAACATGAATTTGAGTATTGTAAGAATAAAAAACCACACGCACGCACAGAATGTTATTCCAGAATTTTCTCTTTAACTCTGATCAAAGCACTGAAAGCACTGGCTAAATAGAGAATGAATCCGGCCTCATTATAGGACATTTAGGCTTCAACTTTATTAGATAATATTTCTAAAGTATGTCTAGTGCACATAATTAAAATTCTTTAAGAAAAAAATCGATCTCCTTTGCTAGATAGATCTGAAATTTAATATTTATCATTTTACATACATACTTGCATATTTATCCGCATTGGATGTAAACTTTGTTGATGAAAAGATTACTATGTTTTGATCTAGACATTCAAAACTATAGGTAATTGATACCTGTTTCATGCACATGGTAAACATTATCAAGAAGGTCGGAAAAGAGTTACAATCTGGCTCTATTAATATTATTATTATCATTATTGATTTAGCAGATATCCTGATAATTTTTTTCTTATTGGAAGGCCTCCGTACTAGTGATGGGTCAATTGAGCTGTGCTTTAATGTTACCAATATATTGAAAGCTTCCCGGTGGAAAAGAAATCGAGAGCGTTATAAGAGTAAAAAAGGAAAACTGGAATAAAGACAATCAAGGCGACGGCAACGTTCACATGACGCAGCCCCCGACATAGTCAAGCTTCCACAGCAGGGTTATTGCCGTGACTAGTGAAATAAACTTAAAACTGATTATATAGTTGTTGTTTTTTAAACCCTAACTTTCTTTCAAATTAAACGAAACAAACAAAATCATGATACAGCAGGACAAATGTGAAGGGCAGATAAGTAAAAGTAACTTTAAGAATTCAGTAAGATGTTATTAACCTCACCTCATACAACAACCATTGCTTAAACTATGTTTTATAATACTTCCAACTCCTAGACGGTAAAGGGCAATGCATATATAAACCATTGTTTTTACTCCTTATAGCCTGTTTATCATGGCATACTCATTGTTAATAGTTTTGTAAATGTTTTGATAAAAAAAGTCGGGTTCATTTCCCGACTATTTTGAAAACACGAGTGACTGGTTTCAAAAACTACAATGGCTAAATATTGATCGGATGCATTTCATTGCATAAATAAGTTAGGGAGAGAACGCTGCTTTTCTTTCTTTATAGCACGAAAACCTTTACTTTTCTCTACTTTTGTCTCTTCTTTCTTCCTGTTTTTCATTTTTGTTGTTTATTCTTTTTATTTACCACTTGAAAGCCTGAAATTAATGTTTTCATTGATAATTTAGCTGTGGTCCTGTTTTGCTTGGCCGTGTGGGTGTTGTATTCATTGAATGTTACCATTCCTTTTTGTATTTCTGATCGAAGATTAGGAAATACAAAGCTAACATTCAATCTCTGACACAGCAGTTTCACGACAAAACTAACAACAAACAGTTCTTAAAACACCTGAAAACTACCGATTTAAAAGAAAGAAATATTTTCATTTTGTTATAAGTATCCAACAAAATTACAACGCATTCAAAGTTTAAAAGTAGCTTTGGCTTATAGAATTGTCAATGAATGCACATTCACAAATTACGCGGATGAATATCATTTTAATCAATGAAAATGCTATTTTAAGCGATGTCGAGAGCTTGTTTCACAAATAAATCTAACTGTCGAGTAGTGGAATATATACATGTCGGACTGTTATGGCGAGACGATTTTTGTTAAATTATTTACATCAATGTTAAAGAACAGGTTTATCTTGAAACAAAAAACCTCGAAATTAACCCGAAATGCAGTGAAAAAATCTAAATTTAGTATTACTTGATTTTATTCAGGCATTGTTCGTATATCTTCTCCGTGGTGCAAGGGTAACGCGCTCGTTTAGTGTGTCTGGGGTTCAAATCCAATTCAAGGCAATTATTTTATATAAAGTTTCTTTGTTAAGGAAATAGCCACGATATGCAAGTATAAAGTGTGGCTGTCATAAAAATGAACATAAATGATTTTTGATGCAACTCTAGTCATGCAAAATGTTTCAAACTCTGGTACCAAGCAAGAAGAATTATAGTACATAAAAATAAACTTATACAGGAAAATAATACAGTTGTACAGTGCGAATTATATTGCAAAGATCAGAAAATACCACAGAGCTTGCAGCCTTTTGATTTATCTTGTTTTTCGTATGTATTTCTGGAGATTAAATGGGTGGTTCTCGTAATACTTTAAGATTCATAAGATTGTGTATTAAAAGCCTTTGTAAATTGTTTCGGAAATACTGGATATCGTTTTGAAAATTTTAGAGCTACTTAAGTATTTTAAACACGTGAACGAAAAAATTTCACAGTAACAGGAATTAAAATTAATTCCTAAGTATTTCGATTATAGTGATTATACCGTAATCAAACGTTAAAGGTCTCCTAAGAAATGTTCTTTGGAATTAAAAATTAAGTGTAAGCACTAGAACATAAACCACCAGATTGCTTGCAAAATCTTTATCGGCAGGATAAATTGGTTCACAAAACATGATTTTTCACAGTCAAGATCAAATGAACAGACTGTCATTTTCTTCCTGTTACCGAATGATACGAACAGACTGTCATTTTCTTCCTGTTACCGAAAAAAACACACCAGGAAGATTTCAAGTAGAGGACACGTCACTGACAGAATGTTCTTAATATTTGAATAGAAAAGAATTTGCTAAAGCCAATTTATGAAAGAGAAATCGGGGATGCTACTTATTAAATTATTTGCCTGTAAAAGAGGATTTATTTTACTCGTTTAGATTATTTTCAAAAACAAAAGTCTCAAAAAGCAAAGGTTAGCTGATATTTAGATGTAAACCGCGACATATAAAATTAATTTACCTGTGAAACTGGAGTGAAAATGTGATAGTTTATCCGTTTTTTCTTCAGTGCCTTCAGCACTTTGATCTTATCTGTAGTACTATCGTTTTCACCAAAAAATCATTAAATTCTAAACAAGTTTCTAATAGAATCATAAACATTTATTGTTTCATAGTTTGAAGACTTTTCTGTTGAAAACGTGTCAGAGTTAAATCGAATTCATATACATGCACAGTGCGTAACTGGAGTGCAGGTAATAAATACCAACACTCCAGAGCATGCCCATTGATGTATTCATTCTTTTTTTTTGGGGGGGGGGGTGCTTTTATGGAATAACGATAGAAATGCCACATTCAGAAGCTAGTTCATAGGTTTTTTTCTGGGGTTTCATATTGTTACAATAGGAAACGTGCATTTAATTTTGCCTATGGTATGAATATGATGTAATTGTGTGTGGAACGTGTATGTACGATCCTATCAAGATAGCCTACGAAACGTCACTCATTACATACACAGATGCCCGTTTGTGCCAGAAACAATTTTGCAAAGGGGGCACCTGAGTTCTTTCTCCACCAGTAAAACTGAAGAGTCGCCAAAATGACCTACACAGTTTTGTGTGACGTAACCCCCACTCCATCCCAAATACAAACAATCAAATCAAATGAGACTGTATTTGATTTAAATACGTTATAGATAGCGTTAAATACTTTTATTAGTGTGATTACACTGTGCTCGTTTTAGTATAAATATCACCGATGCATTATGTTTGCCTTAGAATATTGAAATTGAAACTGAAATGTCAATGAAAATAATTGTACATGTATATTATATCTTTCCGTTTTGTCTAGAAAATGACCGCTTCGCTGGCGTTTGATTTTTTCAAGACAACGAAATTGCTACCTTGATTATCTTTTATACAGTTTTTTCTTCGTTATACTCAAGTTATATATAAACATGATAGGTTTAGAGAGTTGAGAAAAAAATCAATAGACTTTTTTACCCCCGTTTACTCTGGTGTTCCAAAAATGTCCGTTGCGTATTTTAGTTATACCCGATGAATTGTGGGTAACTTCTGTACATGTCTGGGAAAACCAACTTTCATTTTTGCATCAAAAGCTAATGTGAATATGCATTTTCTAGCATAATTGTTGCTAGAGGGTTGGTTAAAGTGTAAGTTATTGTTATTTTAGTCATAATATTGTGATTTGTGGGGAACTTTGTATACATTTTTTTTGGACACCAATTTACCCGTCAGACCTCAGTGTAGCCCCTTTAAAGTCCAGGCTGCAATGAAAATATTAAACAAGTGATAAAACAAAACATTTTTGTTAAAATTTTTCTACAATAGACATCACTGGGACAAAAATGTAACTGGACACATAACATATTTTGAAATTTGTTTTCAATGAAATAGCTTGATATACATGTAGATCTACATCAAGTAGATTTATACTGTATAAATTATTTCTGAAAAGTCAATGTAAATTTTAAAGGAAATAGAATCTTTATCATATATGACAAGGCTACTGTACAGTACAGTACTGTAATTATTGACAAATGAATTTCTATTACAATTCAAGGTCCAATTTAGTAAAGAAAATGTTATCCCTGTACTGCATGCTGCTTTTGAAATACATTAAATAGATGTAGTACTGCTATTGAAGATGTCACCATAGATAAATATCAAAATGCATTTATTATTATTATCCTTTTGGTAGTATCTACAATAATCATATATATATCATGAATACCACATACATGTAGCTTATTCTACCAGCAGGGCTTCCATTAAGGTTCCAAACATTGACAGTCAAAGACTGCAAAATATTTGTCATTGAAAGTCACATTATAGGTAAAAAAGGAAAAGCATAACATTTTTAAAGCCAAAATCAAAGAGTAAATGACTCCTAAACTTCCACTAACAGAAGCCCTACTACCAGGGTATTTCTATCATTTATGAGCCAGTACTTTTTTGCTGATGGAATATTTTGTGTTGTAATTTTAGGTCAGCCAACATACATTTAAGATTTTAAAGTTGGTAATGGAGCCATATTCTTCAAGACCACAAGGAAATGTACTGGTAAGTGTTTTGATACTTGTTCTAATGATCAAATGATTTACTATGATTGTAATCATTGTATACATATATAAATAATCATCATGAACTGACTATTCTCAACCCTTTTTATCAAATAACGATAATGATAAATTTCCTGAATTGCAGTTGAAAGCAATGTAACTTATTTGCAATTTAGCATTTTATATATGATGTCAGATAAGATGTTAAAATATTGTTTAAAATTAAATAACTCTGTACTGTACAGTAACAGGAACTAATCTTAAGTTTATATTAAAAATAATGCTGTATTGTTTTATGAAAATGCTGTCATTAATGTATTGAAAATAATATAAAGCTCTTAAAGTACATACAGCATACATTTTGCACATAATTTTCAGAAAACATAGATAGTTCACCTATTTGCTGATGAATATACTAAACTATTGCTGGAAATGAGGCACAATGTGTGACATCTATGCACTATTGAGCACCAGGGTTATGGAGTAAAAAAGACAACCACTTATCAACAGTTACTGTACAGTATAGTATTGGTCAAGATAAAAAACACTTCAATTGGGTAAGCATATATATTTATACAGTTTTCCATATTAAATTCTCTATTTTGTGAAATAAAAATTGAGGTGACTTCACCATAATACATGTACATAATGTAGATTCAGGTTATTTTAGTCATGTTCAAGATGAATGTTACTGCTACATGTACATGATATATAGACTCTGTAATATATTACACAAGAATTTACACAAGACCTTATATGAACCAAATAGCTGTGCAACACTATACAACAATTTACTTGTAGTTCATTTCTGTTGAGACAAATTATTATATATACACTATATTGTTTCATTTATTCTTATTCAGGTTTTTGTTATTTCAGGATGGCATGTGAGAAGTCAATGACTTGTAGAAGACCTATGTTTGAGAGTATACCAAAGTGAATTACAATCTCATAGAATTTATATCTTCATAAGTATACCTGAAAAAGCTGAAAACTGCAGTGGCAGATGCTACAATAGTTTTACTTAATTGTGAAACAAGTTTTTTGCCAAGTTTATGAATCACTTTCTGCTTGCAAAAACTGAAGGGCATATTAGGAGTGAGAACATGGTTGTTGTTACCCTGTTTGGGTCAAAACCCGCTAACTGGGCTTGCAAGACTCTTAGACTACATTTCAAGGACATTAGTGATCTGTCATTTGTGACTTTCCATGTGTTTGCAAGAATCTGTTATTATCATTCTTTTAAATTTAATTTATTGAAACTACTTTTCAATTTAAATATATATTATGTATATAATATGTTATTCATATTATCCAATTTAAAATACAGGGATCAGATATGTTTTTTACACGTCAATATCTGTAACTAAAAAATATAATCAGGAAAATAACTAGTGCAAGATTTTTTTTTTTTTTTTATCTATTTTTGGTTAAAATTTCTAAAAAACACTATGAATTATTTTGAATACAATTATCTTATATGGAATATTTTATAAGATGCCATTTATTCTAAATTAAAATCATACAGTTTTTTTTGGCATAATTTTTGTTACCATGGTAACCAAAAACACACTTATTTCTAATCAGTTCATTAAAGTATTTTTTTTTTTGCATTGGATTTATAATTTATATGCTATCATGTTACAGCTATGTGCTTTAAAGTGGACTAACTTAAAGTTATGATATTCGCCGTAATCATGGAAAAGTTAACTGAAATTCTGAGAATTCAACTCTTACATTTATATTTATTATCAATAACACTTTTAAGGGAAAAGTGAAAAATCCTTTTTTTTCTCTTTTTCTTAAAATTCTTAAATATTGTTGTATTTTAATATAATATATGCATTAATTTGGGGATGAATTAATCATGTTAAGTGCAAAAATATTGCATTTTGATGAATTTTTTTTAATTTTTCTTGCCATGGCAACCAATTATTGAAAACAAATGATAGTTTTTATCAAGATATTACATAGATTACACCAAGATGATGATAACTTTATATTTTGTTTTATTTTTTTGTGTATGACTTTGAATTATTTCTAGTTTTATATTATACCAATAAAAGTTTAAGTTGTTATGGTGATGTCATACAAAATAGAATATTTTCATAAAATATCAAGTATTTTTAAAAAATAATTGTTGCCAGCTATTCAGCAGATGTTGTTCTACCACAAACAAGTCATAAAACTCATTTTCGCCAAGATATCACATTTGAGCCAAAAATCGCTGAGCTTGTCACATTAATTATATTAAAAGTGGAAGAAGTAACAAACTAGATATAATTGGAGTTGAAAATTAAACGATATTTTGCAAGTACAATCATTTTATTATTGTAAACAGCTTATCAAGAAAAGTTAAAAGGTATGAACACATCTGCAGATGTTTTTAAACTTAATTTCACCATGTTCATACTAAAATCTTGAATTCTGCTTAAGCCGGTGCTCGATGGCGTTGTCGGTAGTTTGCACTTGACAGCAACGTCCATGAAACAGACTCAATCAAACTGAGCCTGCAGCATATATTCAACTTTGCCGTTTTGGAATTTCTTAAGACATTTTTATTTTCCCTGTTTTTGAGCCTTAGGCAAATGTCGTTCTTCTTAAAATATCTACTGACATTTAGATATTTCAAGGCACACACAACACTTGATGAAGACTTGTGCACCTGTTAAAATGTTTTTCCATACCAATCTACTAGCATTTATAACCATCAGTTAGCACTTAAGTGTCACTTAAGATTTCAGGAGAACCCGACAAAATGATATAAATTCACTAAAGCATATACCAAATTCTTCTGCAACTTCTTAAACCTTCGCATTGTTTCATCCAATCATTACTAGTATATCAAATCGAGTTTATGGACAGAGGATAAAATATAAAATAAGGATCCTAAGGATCGTTTTCAAGCAAAGATTCCCATCCAGTTCATATAGAAATACTAAAATTGAGTGAAGAATTCAATGTCAAAATGTATCAAGTCTCTCCAATTTCATTAAAATCTGAGCATTGTTTTCTCTCCGTTTCTCTTCGCTACGAAATAAATGAATTTGAGCGTCGGTAAGGATATGATTTTTATGTGATTGCAAATCTTTCTATTCTAGTAACAATTCTACGAGTAGATTGTCTGAGTTCTATTTCTTGTCATTTTAAACAATGACATTTTGGCTTCCATCTGTATAGAGCGAGTTCCATGTCATTTACAAGAACTGTTTCATCACTCTGGTAGCTGATTTCAATTGTGTCATGAAGAATCCCAGAGGAGGAAAGTGTTTTCATCATAGTTGTCCCATACAAACGGGTTTCTTAGTTGCCATCAGGCGTTGTCATACGTCTGTCCTGTCTATATATAAATTAAGACATTGTGTTTTTAAACCTTCAACAATTGTAGTTTATTGAATGTCCGAATCTATTCATTATTTCTATAATCTTTCGACTACCTTTCAAAACATTTTTTCCGAGACCTATGCATATGTTTCCTGGTTTAACTTATTCTCTGGTGCTTTTGGTAAGTCTTTGTTATTTGTCTTGCTGATTATTTTCAGTCCTATTCTATAAATAATGTTTAAAAACCTCAAACTCCGGTGGTGTGGCATGCTAGTGCTTTTTTCTTGCGCTGTAATATCGTTTCTGAAAATGAAATTTAATAAAAATAATAATACAGGGTTCCCACGCTACCGGAAAAACGGGAAAAGTCCGTGATTTTCAAAATCGCTGCTCCCGGTCGTGAAAACGCCGGGAATTTGCTCCGTCCGGTAAAATTCCGGAAATAGTCCGGGATTTAGTCCGTACCGCTAAGGGAAGTAATCGATATTGAACAATATGGCTGCCGCCGAAGCAACGTCCATTTCCTGGTTTGAATTATTGATGTTTTCTTCCACCGAGGATGGTTTTAACAAGCTATCTTGGTATTTTGAACATTTTACAAATCAAATTCAGGTTTTTATACGACAAATGCCGTAATGGCTTTGAAACCTCGCTAGAAAGTAACAATAAAATCGAACGAAAAAATAATAAGCACGTCCGTGTTTCCTTTACTGCACAGTCGTCCAGTTGATTCAGCAAATATGTCGTCTGCGCTAGTGCGCCAGTTGCGAGACAGAGAAATAGGAATAGGAAAAAGATCAACAAAACTAATTACACCTTATACATTTGGATCTGTTTCGAGACGCTATGTTAGTCAGTTAGCAACTTGAACTATGCGTGGATAGACGTACGATTTCGGGCGCTATAAAGATGATTTTATGTATGGGAAACATTTTTCTCGCTATTGTTACTTACATTACTATTTCATTAACTAAAATTACGAAGTATTTCAAAATAATTTTGGTTCAGATAAACATTAAACCTTCCGGACGCTTTGTCGGTATACGGTGGTTTTTGAGCAAGTGAACTTGAGTCGAAGGTATATTAGTTTTTTTTATATAAGTAAGATTATTTTTTTCTACCATAAATAACTCAATACATAATAATATACATTATTTACAATAAATATAAACCTTCTGACTGTTTAAATTAACAATAATGCTTCGGGACGCTTCAGGACGCTTCGGGACGCTAAATTTCTTCGGGACGCTTTTTAGTGAGACCGTATATGAGCCACCCCATGAGAAAACCAGCAAAGTGTGTTTGTGACAAGCATGGATCCAGATGAGTCCTGCACAGTCTCATAAGGATCCATACTGTCTGCCTAAAGCTTGTGTAACATTTTTAACATCTGAAAGTAAACTTCATGGATCCTGATGGGACTGCATGGATAGGCCAAGCTTGTCTGGATCCATGTTAGTCCCAAGCTATTGCTAGTCACACAAGCACTTTGTTGGTTTTCTTGTGGTGCTGCTAAAACATATGTAATTACTTTGCTGAAAATTTAATATAATTGCCTCGTTTCTCATTTACAATTAAAGTTTTTGTTATGACTGACCCATGTTTCAATATTGTTAATATATACCTGTTTTGCTTTTCATTAAAATGACAAAACTCTTACAGTACAGGCCAATTAAGATTTGTCATTAGTGCAAGTAAAATGAACAATATTTTTATATGCCCGTTTAAAAAACGGGACATATTATGTTTTCACCCTTTACGGGCTGGTGGGAAGTCTGGAAAAGACCTGGAATTCTCAAATTGAAAAACCTGGAATTTAAAAAAAAATCCTTGAAAAAACCTGGAATTTCACTCCTAAATAATAGTGGGAACCCTGATAATAACAAGCAAGTATCATTGTATTGTAAGCAATCCATAAGTCCCCTACCGGTTAGAACCCCAGCAACATTCTGAAGGGCCATTGGTCATTGAATTAAGTTATTGAATAGTTGTATGACATGAATAAACTTAAATCTTTTTAGTTCTTAGTTTGTCTTTATCTAAGTAATATGTTAAGTTTCCCTAATTATGTTTATAAAACAGATAATCAAAAGATCCAATTTTCTTAAGATGAATATGTATAACTTATGTTTCATTTTTTTCTATTTAAAGTAAATTTGTGTCTTTAAAAGTGATCTCAGGAAACAGTTTTTAGAAACGGACAGACAGACCAACTGACAAAGACTCTGAGGATAAATCTTTAAAACATCCCTGGTTGTTACCAGAATATACCATTTTTAAAAGCAAAAATTTTTAAACTAAGAGGAGATATTTTTGAAATAAAGATGCTAGACTTATGAACATGTTTCATACATGATGTGAGTGTAAAAAGAACAAAAAATAGTACCAATTATAGTTACAAAGAAGAAAATTAAAAGAAAAAAAATCAAGTAAATTTCAAGTTTTGAAATGAAAATAATGATGACAACACATGTCTTATAAATCTAATCACATATGAAAGTGAGGTTTTTGATAATGAATGTCTGTTTTTAAATTTGAAGTAAATCCATGGAGAAATAAGAAAGTTAAAGAATGAGTAAGAAAAATTCAAAATTTAAGGAGGAGATAATTCTGGTAATATGGACGCTATATTTATAACCCTTGTCATATTATTATGATGTTGGGGTTTGAAGGAAATGCTATAAGAAATGAAGAAGTTTCAGTGAAATATAATAA